AACCCACTGGGCAGGGCAGTGTAGGCTCTGAAACCAGGCCGAGCCTTTTTTTTTTTTTTTTTCCTGTGACCACTAGGTAGCCTGAAGTGATGTGTGTGACCCTGCCTCAGTTATGGCCAGGACCTTCTCCATCCTCTGGGCTTCCCAGCCACCGCTGTCTCCTCTCTACTTGTTTTCCTTGACTCTGACTTTTAAACTTCTCTTTACACACATTTCTATTTTATTACATAGATTCTTGTGATTTTGAATCCTTTGTGGCAGTAGCTGAAGTGTCATAAGTAAATAAATAACCTCAGGACTGTAACAAAAGAGGTTTCTTTGCCCATTTACCCAGGATATTCAGCTAACACCGAATCTCCCCTTTCCAGGTTCCAGTGAATGTTCCGCTCTATTCTGAGATCATCAGTGAGCTGTGATTTCCCTGGCCAGAGCCTGAAAGGGAATCAGGGAGGGGATTAGAAGAATGGGGTCATACCCTGATTGCTCGGGACCTCGCCTGAGAGGGGAGGAGTGTGGCCTGGAGATGGGGACACCTACAGTGAGGGTGACTGTGAATTCTAAGGGGCAGAGGATGTGGGCTGGGCTGCATTATGACTTTTGGGGGCCCTGGGCAGTTTTGTCTTCCTCCATTAAAAAAATATAAAAAATTATATTTTACAATTATGTTGGTAGAAAGACAAAAAACAATCCTGGCTGGATTCATTGTTATATATTCACTTTTTTTTTTTCTACATTTAAAAAGGTTAAGAATTAAAATATTTTTGTGGCCTCTAAAAGTACTCCGTGGCTGCTGGAGAAGTTGTCCCTGGGCTACAGGGCCATGAGAATCTGGCCCAGGGCAAGAAGCATCCCTGGGTTCACATGAGCCCTCCTTGTGTCCACAGAGATCAACTCTTGTTCACTACTGCATGGCTTCACTTTTCTTTTTTCTTTCCTTCTTCTTCTTCTTCTTCTTTTTTTTTCTTTTAAGGCAGGGTCTCACTCTGTTGCCCAGGCTGGAGTGCAGTGGTGCGATCATAGCTCACTGCAGCCTCAGACTCCTGGGCTCAAGCAAACTTCCCACCTCAGCCTCCAGAGTAGCTGAGACTACAGGCAAGTGCCACCACACTCAGCTAAATTTTGAAAAATGTTTTTGTAGAGATGAGGGTCTCACTATGTTGCCCAGACTCGCTTCACTTTTCAAATGAGGAACTTGGCCAAGACTTAGAGGAGGAAGTTGTCCAAGTTTTAAGCTAACCTAGTGACGTTTAGAGTAAGAGTGTCAGTATAGGCGTTTTGGGTCTGAGCTGCATGTGATTTCATTACCATGAATGCTTGTGAGTGTGACCTCATCCCCACACATGGCAGGGGCTGTCTAATGACTGTGAAGCCCACTAAGTTAGAGTTTTGTGTGACAGCATGTGGACAGAGTCTGAGGTTAAATTTCCCCTTGCGTTGTCTAGGAAGAAAGGATGTATAAAGAAAATGCAAAATGTAAACCAGATGGGGATGTATGTAAACTACTGGAGGAATTTGTTGTTTTCAAGCTTTTAGAAGCATGAATTTATGTTGTCAAACAGTTAACAACAAACCTGTATGCTACACTGTAGGTAAGACTTAACTAGTCACTAAAACTAGTTTCCTGAGACCTTTTCTAAGCAATGCACTAAATATGGAAAGCAATACAACATTATTTCTTAAAAAAATAAAAACAACTTCAGATTGGCCCAGCCCAAGCCCCGATCTAGGCATGTTTTCTGAATGCCCTTTGCTGGAGTGCAACATCAGATGAGGCAAAGCTCCTTCAAATGCTAGTTGTGAGTGAACCCACAAACTCATATCAAGTCAACAGCCATGATTAGCAATAGCTGGTACTAGGGACTGTTGCTCAAAACAAAACAAAGCAAAACAAAGCAAAACAAACAAGCAAAAACCTACCATAACCCAACAGCAAGAGCAAATGGCTCCTTTGAAACTCTGGGGGCCCTTAGCACAACTGAACCTAAATGCTCACACAGCAAGCACTGTGATAAACTTGGGATCTGTAACAACATACATTGCTCAATAAAGTCCCCCTCCCTCCCTTTGTTGAACTTCACATTTCAAAACCTTACTCCATACTTCTGAGAACCCCTACTTCTGGGAATTTCTGCTTTCACAGGAGAGAATGTATTTAATATAATGATTAATCAGGATCATGAATTGCCATGTTTCATTTTTTTTTTAATAATGAAAATGCGTAAGGGTTTAAAATACTCTTCGACACACCTAGCTTAGCAAATATCATGGACCTCTACATTTATGTGAATTCACACATGAGCTAGCCAGCACCTCAGTTCTGGCTGGCCCCCTTTGGCACCAGGACACAATAATTTATTAAGCTTCAATACTTAATAAGTGTGCACAAATATCATGCAGACATTACGACCATACTCACAAACAAAAAGTGTATTAGAGACACAGGTTTATACAAAACATCTTGTAAACAAAAGGGAAAAGGGAAGAGGTTGATATTTTCTGTACAAAATATGCAGGTTTTTCTTTCTTTTTTAATAATCTGTAAGATGCATCATCCTTCTGGCATTTTCAAAAAGTGAAAACTGTATAAAAATAAATATTCTATGTACAAACACACACACAGGCCAATCCAAGGTTAGAGGCATCACTGCAAAACAAAAACAAAACAATGTTCTGTTAGTTTCAGTGGGTCTGCAGAAGTTTATTTCCTTTGTGGGAAGGGAGGGAAATCTTGTCCTAGGTTGGGTGGGACTTCTGGACAGGGGAACTGTGGGAACCCTGAGCCCCTAGGTGGAAGAAACTGGTGGCTACCTTAGCTCCCTGAAGGGAGGAAACCAAGTTCACCTCTCTGTGAATCCCCTTTGTGGTCACTAGAGGGCACTCTCTTTCTCTGCTGCCTTTGGAGGCCTGATTGTTGTAACCCCTGCCTTGTCCCAGATTGGACTTAAAGTGTAAATGAGTAGTCTTGAAGCTCTCTGGTTGCTTCTCCAAGACATTGCAGCTCTTGGTAGTGGCTGTTCTTCCCCTGCTAATCTCAACCATTTCTATCTCCTAACGATTGGCAGCAACCTTAAAAAGGAAATTTTTTTTAGGGGGCAAGGGTCCAGAGGTCTTATGACACCTCTGACCTGCTTTTGTGGTGCTTTAACTAGGTCTAGGTGGAGCTTGGCAGGAGGACGAGGCCAGGCTCCAGGGACGGATTCTGGGGAGGCATCTCTCCTCTGTGTTGAGCTCTTCCTTCTTGGGTTAGGGGGCGCTTCAGGTATCCGGGCAAGTAGGTGGTCAGCGTTGGCCTGGGGTCTTGTTGATTTCACCACTTTTACCCAACCCAGTGCACTAATGAGATTCTGGCATCTTAGTACAGGGGAGTTTGTTCATCTCATTGTAAGTGTGACTCTGTTGTCACTGGAATAGCACTGGATTCGTTGAGCACAGATTCTTGAACAGGTTGGAGTCTCCAACCCTTTATGAGGATGAACCTTGAGACAATGGTGGTGGGGGTTGGTGAGAAGACTTGGAGTGAGAGGCAGGGTGGAGGGAGACGGTATGGGGCAGCATAGCGACTGCCACCGTTGCTGGGGACCAAGGTGGGGCTTCTGGATTAGTTAGCAAGCAGATGGCCCTTGTCAGCCTGGGCAGCCCTGTGCTCTGGGGAGCCATAGTTGAATGGGGTGATCACAGGCAAGGGCACAGTCCTGTGATGTCAGACTGCTCTAATGATGGCAAATGCTAAGGCCAGTGTGAATCAATGAAAACTCATTGTCCGTAGGAACTCGGGGAGCCCAGGAGAGATTGGGCTGCAGGTCACAGTGTTGTGGCATGAAACTCTGCCAGCTTAAATGCAAGGGGAGTGGTAAAGTGGTGAGTAGCACAGCCCCTATGAACTTACACTGTAGCTGCATGTGACTGTAGCCAATGGGAAGCTCACAGTGGCATGTGAATTCAGAGTGTAAGCAACTGAGATGTCCTATATCTAAGACATGTCATCATGTGGCATAAACGACCTCAGAGGAACTCTATGAGTGATGGTCTGGAACTCCTTGGGGAATTTCCTTGGGGGAAAGACACTATGTACATTGAACACACAAAGCATAAAGAGGTCACCTGTGTGGCTGCATGGACATCCCGCATAGGGTTTGCTGATGTTCTAAGAAGCATTTTTAAATGTTCTTTAACAGCATGCAGTGTATGGGATGTTTAATGGGCAGCCTGCCTTTGAGACAGTGACTTTTTGACCTGTGTCTTGCTGCCTCATCTGTAGCAAGGCAGAATGGAAATTGTGGAAGCTTTATGGCACTGTTGAGAATGGAGCCCCAATGCAAACCGATGGGAAGCCTTACCTTGTTCCAGCAGCCTTGGACTGGCAAGCCATCTTCGCCCTGCAAGGAGAAAGGAAGGCAGAGGGCTCAGACTCCCTACAGTGGTCCACCAAGCGGGCAGGACCGGGGTAACGAGGGCCACACACATTTTGGCAGCTGATCAGGATGTGGTCCACCCACTCTTGTCTATTTCTTTGCTCTACTCCAGGTCAGAACCCCAGAAGGAGGTGGAAACAAATCCGTCTGTTTTCCTATTGGCTAAGGTCACATGCAGCTACAGTGCAAGGCCAATAGGGGCTGTCCTCTCCTGTGGGACGAGCAAGCAGAGATGTCCTTGTGTGTCATGAAGGAACAGTCTCTGCTGTGGCCCTGTGGAGTGCTGGCTGCTCACAGGCAAGCCACTCAGCACAAGGGAGCCTCAGTTTCCTCCTCCGTAAAACCTTGGCAAGGGCAGTTGCTTGAAGTGACCTCTAAGGGCCTTCCCAGCCTTCTCATTCTCTTATTTTTCTCTCTTCCTAAGCAGAGGGAGGAGGACATGTGGACAGTCCTTCTTTGATGATCAATCCTGGGGTGGGGTGAGGGGCATGAAGGGACAGGCAACCTCATGAGTATTGCAGCACGGCCCTGAGACACCTTTGGCAAGAAGACAAGTGTCCCTGGTGAAGCCTTAGACTTTGCTGGGAATTTGGGGGTGAAGTGCAGTAGCAACATGGGAATCAACTGCACACTGTCAGTCTCCTTTGTTGGTAGCAACCATGCAGCCCCTTTAGCCTCAAGATGTTCGTGTTCTGCCCTTGGTGATACAAACCTTCCTGAGTTTTCTTGGGCCCTCATCTCCTCTCCTTGCTGGCATACCCTGTGGGGAATCTAGAAATCTAGAGACCAGGTGGGGAAGGCGAGGCTGGGCCAAGGGCGAAGATCTAGTTTTCAGCCCAAGTCTGCTAGACAGGCAGGGCAGACAAGGAGATGGACACGGGGCTTCAGGAGACCAGAGCAAGTGCTCAGTCCTGAGGCTGCTTGTGGAATGAGAGTCCTCTGCTGTCCCGGTCTAATGACATCCACCCACGCCAGGGGCTGAAACCTCTCATCACCTGGCATTGGGCAGGGATTGGTCCCAATATGGAGGGCCTAGGAAGTCTGGTTATCTTGTAGTAAAAGTCATGAGTAGTAGCTACCGCTGCCCCCCAAGTCCATCATAACACAGAGGAGGAGGCAGAGTGAGAAACAACAAGGGGAAGACACTTCCCCAGTAAACTTAATAGAAAAATGACACATTGATATGGGATGTATAATCAGGGTGACCTTCATTTTTCCCCTCTGGGTTGGGGAGGGGATTGCAAGGGGAGGTGGTGCATTCCACAGTTTCAGGGTGACCCTGTGCCCTTCCCCAGCCTGCCACAGTGCGATATGACACACATCATGTGGATGCTGGGAGGGAGAGGAGCCTCTGCGGGCCAGAGCGGCATTCCCATTGGTGTGTGGATGGTGGCAGCGGGGTATGGAGGGCAGGGCAGGCAGAGAATGAAAAGTAATGTATGGTGAGAAACAGAGAGGCCAAGGCAGCTGCTGGCAGAACTAAAGGTGCCCAGATTGCGGGGGGCGGGGGGGGGGATTGTGGCCGAGGGAAGACCTGGCCGGTGCTCAAGGGAGCCTCTGTGGGCCAGAGCAGCATTCCCATTGTTGTGTGGATGGTGGAAGGTCCCGATTGAGAAAGGTGGCTGTGCAGGCTGCAAGAGCGGGGTTTGGCAGGACCAGCAGGGACAGGAAGCATGCTACCGCCTGCTTGCTCTGCACTCTCCTTCTGTTGCCTATGCTCCTCCTAAAAAGTCCCTACTGCCCTTCAAGGGGCTCTACAGCCCCCTGTCAGGGTCACACAGCATAATTTCTTATATCTTTTCCTCTTTTGTTCAAAGAGAATTCCTGCGTGACCCCAGGGCAGGGATGTGAGGCCCCAAATTCTCTTATTACTGGTATAATAGAATAGCTCTTGAACTCCAAACCTATTGGGGAAATTTGGGGAGAGCAGTAACCCCTTGAGCCTTGGAGTGAAGTGTTCCCTTCAGCTTCTTTTGCAGTGAGAGGATGGAGGCCTAGACTGTCCATGCCTAGAGAGGGACCAGGCAGGCAGGAATAAACTGTTACCACTTCGCCTGGGACGTGCTTGGAAGACGAGCCCTTAGCTGTCTCCCTGCCTCCTCCTTAACTGCACTCTCGACCTTTCCATCTCTCCCAGACTCTTCAGTAAGCCATCCGACCATGAAAGAAAGGGACAAGGAAGGGTCTGGTAATGTCTTTGGAGATTTAAGCAAAAAGGACAAACCCTTTAGGATCCAAAAACCTAATCCTGGACCATCCCCTAGTTCTGATGATGTCACCTGGGCAGTGACACACGACGCAACCTGGAAGAACAGGCAGGTGGCCCCTCCTCCACCTCACTTCTAGCGCTTCTCAATCTATGCTGTAATCATGCCATTCTGTCCCCCAAATCATGCGATGGAGGGGGCAGGGGACACAGGGCTGACTCAGGCATCTCATTCACATGTTTTGCTACGTGTTCAGCCCGTGCGTTCTGAACTAACTGCACTGCCTGAAGGAAAAGAAGTAAGTCATGGTTCTGAGAACCAGTCCCAGAGAATCCACTTTCCTAGCTGGTCTCTGGTGGCAGTTTCTAGAATCAGCTTGGAGATGAGTATCAGAGGCAGCAAAGCCAACTTCAGGGTAGGAGGTCTGGCTCGCATCAGGTGGATGTGCTTTAGAAGTAGCTGCAGCAGGAAGCCAGGAAACATCCTGGTAAACTTGGCATGCAAAAGGGTGGCATGGCTGGGAGACCCCAGAGTACTAGCCAAGGCGGGGTGACCCTGGGCATTTACAGAGTGAAGAAGCGAGAAGTGGATACTGGAGGGGATGGAGGAGGAGTGTGGAGGGTGGCTGGGGAGGCACGCAGTATGAATCACACACGTGGGGAAGCCCAAATCGGCCATGCAGGCAAGCAAGGGCAATGCCATACCAACGGGCATGGGGCATCCAGTCCGTCCAGCCCTGGTAACCCCGGCTCCCCTTTCTCTCCTTTAAAACCTCGGTGTCCCTGTTCACAAAACCAACCACGATGATTATTCAGGTCTAGGCTGGTCCGCTCCAACCATGGAGTGGAGAGGCCCAGTCCTACCCTGGCCAGGATGCAGGACCCTTGAGGCATCTACAAACAGCGGCTAAATCCCAGGAGATCCCCCACCTCCCAAATCCAGCTTTTGTGCTCTCTTTGTGCTCTGGAGAGTTCAGCTTTGCACACGTACAACCTGCCCCCTCTCCATTGATCCCACTCTCTTTATGGACTCACTTAGTGTAAACACAGACAAACTTCAACTTTAGTGCATCATAATTTTTTAGAACCTTCAAATGGATTGAAAGGCACTTGAGAAACCCAGCAGATGTGCCTCATCATTAATTGTTGGCTGTTTTGAGAAGGCTTCCCATGGGGTGTCTGACTACCGACTCTGGTCTGCAGCTTTAAAGGTTTTAGCTGGATGGCTGGTGAGTGTTGGTAGCTTGTGCATTAGAAGCCCCTCATCTGGCTTTGTTCTGCCCAGTTTTGACATCAGTGGCCCTGAGGAGACGCTAACTCTGGTGTCCTGCATCCTGACCAAGTGAGGATTCAGACAGCTTGAACTACTGGCCCACAGAGATGGCCATGAAACGAAGAAGGCAAATCCGTGGCTCACAAATGCTACACTGGCTTCCAAAGCCATCCTGGAGCTAAGAACTGAGGCCTTCCCTGAAAATCCCTTTCCTAGTGGTTTCTTCACTTCCACACATCAATTGCTCTGCATCTTCAAAGGAAAAGGATTCAAAGGCAAGGGATTTAGCCAGAATTACTTGCAGCTGTGGTTATAAAGCAACTCCAACAGTGGGCAGAATTTCACTGGTCAAATGAACAGATTTTGGTAGCATCAGTGTAGACATTTGGTTCTCATCTTAGTTTATTTGCCTTCTTTGTTTCCAACTTGCAAACCTCAAGGACAAAAACCAGAACAATGCAAGTGATAAACAAAAACATACCAACGGGCAGGGGGCATCTAATCCAGGCGCTCCTTGGTCTCCCTTATCCCCTTTAGGCCCTCTAGAGCCTTTCTTCCCCCTCTCCCCCTGTAAATAATGGATTAGTCCGGGGAAAAAAAAAAACATCAAAACTTTAGGATCATTCATGTGTTAAGGTTAGAGACAGAAAAAGATAAATAAAGTTAAAAAGGGAAAAAGAGACTTTAAATTAGGATATTCTCCCCCATAGGACTTGGAGTGAACACTCACCTCCTCCCCACCCTGCAGGAACCGGAGAATTTGGCTAAGGTGGGTGGGAGGGGAAGGGAGGACAGGCAGAGGGCTCAGAGCTGCAGGTGGAGGGAACCACAGATGGAAGATTTGTGTGGCCAGTTTTGCTAATACTAAGCCCAAGGTGGGTCTGTGCTGAACACAGTGGCTAGGGACCAACTTCCTTCTCTCTGAGGGTCTATTTTTGAAAGGCTTTGGGGTGACAACTTTTTTTCCCCCCAATTATTGTTTATCCCTTTGACATTCTATTAGGAGGCAAGGTGATTCTGCTTGGAGCCATGGGATGTGTGTCAACATAGCGTGTATGAGTGTATGCACATATGTACTTGGGCATGTGTGTGTATATGTATGTATGAGTATATGGGTATGTGCTTGTGTGTATGTGTGTGTGTGCACGTTTGAGTGTGTGTGGGTATGTGCTTGTGCACATGTGTGTATATGTATGTATGAGTATATGGGTATGTGCTTGTGTATATGTGTGTGCACGTTTGAGTGTGTGTGGGTATGTGCTTGTGCACATGTGTGTATATGTATGTATGAGTATATGGGTATGTGCTTGTGTATGTGCGTGCACGCACATTTGAGTGTGTGGGTATGTGCTTGTGCACGTGTGTATATGTATGTATGAGTATATATGTATGTGCTTGTATATATGTGTGTGTGTGCACGTTTGAGTGTGTCTGGGTATGTGCTTGTGCACGTGTGTGTATATGTATGTATGTATGAGTAGACAGGTATGTGCTTGTGTATATGTGTGTGTACGCACGTTTGAGTATGTGTGGGTATGTGCTTGTGCACGTGTGTATATGTATGTATGAGTATACGGGTATGTACTTGTGTATATGTTTGTGTGCACGTTTGAGTGTGTGTGGGTATGTGCTTGTGGACGTGTGTGTATACGTATGTATGGGTATACGGGTATGTGCTTGTGTATGTGTGTGTGCGCACGTTTGAGTGTGTCTGGGTATGTGCTTGGGCACATGAACACATGTGTGTGCCTGTACGCATGTGTGTCCATGTGCACATATGTGTGTGTGTGTCCAGAGCTCACGGATGGCCCCTGGGTCTCAGCTGGGTTCTCCCGTTCTATGTGTGTCTCTGCTTCATCCTGGTCTGAAGTCAGACGGTTATTTGTATATGAATATGTTGGTTTAAGGAATTCATTTGTTTCTGAAAAGCTACAGTAAACATCATTTTTCTAAATTGAATCCTGTATTGTATGTGTCAGAGTCTATTTAAAGAAGGGCTGTGGGGAATTCTTTTTAAAAGGGAAGCATCACCTCTGTAATGAATTTGCATTTGCATTTTTATATGTGTGTTTCCTAAAAAGGGGGCCCAGTATGCCCCTAGGGAGTCTTCCTGGGACCTCCCCTCCTCTATGGAAGGGGGATTATCTAATGCTTGGGGACTTCAACAGTGTCGCTCCAGGGTGACATTGAAGACTGGGCAGCATATTAGAACAAAGGCTTGAAGTCAGAGTTGGTTCTGACAGTTAGCTGTGTGCTTTGTGAATCTACTTCTTTGAGCCTTAGTTTCTTTACCTGTAAAATGGATACAGTAATACCTGCCTCAAAAATTTGTTGTGAGGCTGGGCATTGTGGCTCATGTCTGTAATCCCAGCACTTTGGGAGGCCAAGGCAGGAGGATCACTTGAGGCCAGGAGTTTGAGGCCAGCCTGGACAACAAAGCAAGACCTCATTTTTGCAAAGAATAAAAAAATTAGTCGGTTGTGGTGGCATGTCCCTGTAGGCCTAGTTACTCAGGAGTATGAGGCAGGAAGATCACTTGAGCCAAGAACAGGAGTTCGAGGCAGCAGTAAACCATGATTGCACCACTACACTCCAGCCTGGGCAACAGAGCAAGACTCTGTCTGAAAAAAAATGTTGTGAGGTCTTTGTGCACATTAAATGCTTTATAATGGCATATAGTATGTGCAAAGTAAATGACAGCTGCTTCATAATGATAATAATGGTTATGATTTCTTTTTAGCCAGTATAGGAGCCAAAGGTTGGGGTCAGAGGTTGTCATGTGCAGTGTTCCTGCAGTGGAAGGCTGCAGGGTAGATGTTCATTAGAGGAAGGCAGAGGATAAGAATATTTTTGGCTGGGCGAGGTGGCTCATGTCTGTAATCCCAGCACTTTGAGAGGCCGAGGCAGGCAGATCACCAGAGGTCAGGAGTTCGAGACTAGCCTGGCCAACGCGGCGAAACCCTGTCTCTACTGAAAATACAAAAATTAGCTAGGTGTGGTGGCACAAGCCTGTAATCCCAGCTACTTGGGAGGCTGAGGCAGGAGAATTGCTTGAACCCGGGAGGCAGAGGTTGCAGTGAGTCGAGATTGTGCCACTGCACTCCAGCCTGGGTGACAGAGCGAGACTCTGTCTCAAGCAAACAAGCAAACAAAATAATATTTTTGATGTTTCTCCAGATCTTCAGAAATTATTCAAATTTCTCTATTTCGGAGGTTGTCTGCAATTGCCAGTGCATTATTCTAAATGAATGTTCTGAAAATGCAAATCGTTACTTAGAAAATGACATGTGTTTAAATATGTATGCACATATTGGGTATATTCCCATCGGCCTGAAGTTTTGTCTGCCAGCAAGAACATCATGGCACAAATCATCCCCAAATGGTAGACCAGCAAAACCACTAGCTATCTGGGTGTGGAAGCCCCCTGGCAAACTCTCTCAGGAGGGTGGCCCCTCATTCTCTGGGTCATGAGCAATTTCCTAATGAAGAAAGTCGGCAAATCTGCCAGAGTGGGGGATCCCAGGTCCAGGATACCCCCGGGTGTAACAGACGGTTGGCACGTTCCAGACTTTCACAACAGGTAACGGACACTATGGGACATTGTGTTCTAAGAATCTGCACAATTGCCCCAAATCCGGTGTCCGTTGAGGCTATTAGAGTAGTAACGTCACCTGCATTCTCCCTGCCTGCCACCCCCAGACAGTGACACAAAAGAGACCCATTGCAAAGAGGGAACCCTAGCTGGTAAGGAATAAAGGGGCAAATAAAGTCAAGGGGCAAAGGCTTCTTAAAAACATAAGTAAATGTCTAACAGTGGACTTTGGAGGAGATAAACTGAAAGCTGGTGAGGGGGAGGGGAAAGGATGAAGGACGTGGGATTATTATGATGGAATGAACATATCTGGGGGGTGAAGGAGTAAAGGAAGAGGCCAAAAGAGATAGTGGAGGAGGAAGAGGTGAGGAGACAAGACGGACTTAGGAAGTGAGACATACACACACACATGCACACACACACACACATGCACACACACACACACAAACATGCATGCACCCCCCCCACCCCCAAAGTTGGGCATCTCAGATTGCAGAAGCAGCCTCACTGCATGCACACAGACCTTTTCAGCTGGCTGGTTTGCAGGCAGCTCCACAGTAACACCCAATTTTCCTGAATGATTTTATTGCCAGATTCATGCCACCCTTTATCCTTTGACTGATTTCTTAGCCTAAAGGTGGCTCCTGGGCCAAATTCACAGAGCTACTTAGGGGAAAGGGGAAGCACCCTTAGTGACAAGGTCAGGATATTCTTTCCACTGGCTTGTGTGTCCTTAGAAAGCTCCTGGTCTGGGGCTCTGGGCCTTTGCCCATCATGACAAGGACTTTCCTTCCATGAACAGGAAAGAGGTTCTGAGGCCATCCTTTGGTGGGACATGGAGAAGCATACTTTTAAGGTTGTATCTTGGTTCACTGTAAGATAAAACAAATCTCAGGGCCACGCGTGGTGGTTCATGTCTGTAATTCCAGCACTTTGGGAGGCCAAGGCAGGCGGATCACTTGAGGTCAGGAGTTCGAAACCAGCCTGGCCAACATGGTGAAACCCCGTCTCTACTAAAATCCAAAAAAAAAATTAGCCAGGTGTGGTGGTGCACACCTGTACTCCCAGCTACTCAGGAGGCTAAGGCAGGGGAATCGCTCGAACCTGGGGGGCGGAGGTTGCAGTGAGCTGAGATCACGCCACTGCACTCCAGCCTGGTGAAAGAGCAAGACTCCATCTCAAAGAAAAAGAAAAAAAGGTCAGAATGGGGAGGCAAGACTGAGAGGGGACTCTTTCAGGACATTCGGGCATCCTGAGAGCCAAATCCCTGGAATGAAGAGAACAAGCTGCCCTGGAGTTGGAAACCTGCTCTTTGGGAATAAGTCAATTGGCTCTTCATGGTGTGCTCGAAAGAAAGGTGCGTGCCACCTCACTGTTTTCTGAACTTGACTTTTACTAAGTGACACATTCCTAATTTGTAAAGGGGATGGAGGAAAGTGTGTCACACATCAGGAAGGGGAGGGGGAATAGACATACTTTCCCACTGATTCCTGGGGCCTCCACGGATGACTCGATAACCTCAGCTGCTGCAGCATCAGAGCCGCCAGCCCCCTCCCTCCCTCTGTGTGTGACAAGGGTACTTGTCCTGCCTCCACCTGTAGAGCAACATGGTCACCGTCCCTCGAAGGGCCAATTTTGCAGCCTTCAGACGGCTCAGTGTCTCCAGCCAACTGAAAAAGTCTGAAGAAGGAGGTTTAGAAAATACTAATTGAATTTAATAAAGAAAACTAGAACACGTCAGAAAGACATTTGAAAGGAAGTTAGGACGCCAGTGAAGAGGTGGAATGATCAAAGATTTTAGAAGCCTAAATCCTTTGATGTCACACTAAGGAAAGTCCTTCACAGCGTGCCTTAGAGCATCTGGAAGCAGGTCTGTTTATTCTGGCGGTTTCCAGACCTGGTCTTGCCATGGGCAGGGGTGGCGTTGCTGCTCCCAATTGTTTATAGAAGATGAGGGACAAACTGAGTTGCTTTTGACCAGCTGCCAGTGGAGAGCACTTAGGAAAATGGGAGTGCTCAGTAAATAGATCTTGAATTGAAGAGAATGGAATTCACTCGTCAGATGAGCATAGGCATTTGCGCACTTTCTGTGCATGAACATGGTGTCAGTGTGCAAAGATCAGCCAAAAGACCTGGGTTCTGGAGACCGTGTGCTCTGTCTCTAACTCTCCATGGGAACCCAGAACACATAATCATCGTCTGGGCCTTGTTTCTCCATCTGTTCCTTCTCCTCTAAGCGCCTGGGATTTTAGGACCCGCTAGAAGACATACTTGGCTTGTAGGGGGTGTGCCCCCAACTCCAGGAAGCCCCACGATGCGGCAGCAGATGAGACCCTCCAGAGGGGAACCCAAAGGCCATCTCTTGGTCAAATGTAGTGAAATTCTCCCTGCTGGGCCCAAATGCTGAAGGTCGTGGTAGGTGCCATAGCCCATTACGTGGCTGTGGGTGCCATGGGCATTTGGTAAGTGTGTCCTGGCGACGATGGCAGAAACCAAAGGGACAGCAAGAGTCTGAGAAGGCACATGTCTTTTCAGAGCCCTGCCGACTCTTTCCAAGAGAAATAGTGGCTGTAATATTTTTAAAAAGGGTTGGCTGCTTCCAACAGCTGTCTGCTTGTTCTTGGAGCTGGAATTTATTTTCTCTCTCACCAGTGGCCCGGAATGCCTGGCAAAACCAAGTTTCAGAAGGCGAGGACAAGGTAGCAATGGATCTAAAGTGATCGTATAGGGGCTCATGGTCAGGGCAACCTAGAAAGAGCTGGACACATGGCTCTTGTTGCTGGATAGCAATGCTAAGCTGTGGCTGCCGTGGGATTCAGTCTCTCCTTGCTGTGTGGAAAAATACGTGCTTCCATGTGAGGATCAGGCCCTGGGCTCCATACATGCCACAGGTTAAGGCCCTGCTTGTAAAGCCTTTCAATTTAGCATGACTTATCAGGAAAAACTGTTTGCTATGTTGGTCAGGAATCACCGATTGATCATTCCACCCCAGCATGAAGACATTAGTAACCAGAGTGCGAGTGCGGGGGCTCAGACTCACCCGGTTTCCCTTGTCCCCGGGTGGTCCATGTAAACCCTGCAAGAGATCAGAGAACAAAGGCATGTTAATGAGGACACACAGGCCGGCTGTACAGTGCTTTCTTCCAGGTTCATCAAACTCCTGATGCCTCACTCACCGGAGACAGGTTTAATTATTCCCATTATACAGAAAGGGGACAGAGAAGCAAATCGCTCAGAAAACTTGACCTAGAGGCAAATGATGAGTTCTGGGCAAAGCCAAAAAACACTTCAGGCCAGGCGCAGTGGCTCACGCCTATAATCCCAGCACTTTGGGAGGCTGAGGCAGGCGGATCACAAGGTCAAGAGATTGAAACCATTCTGACCAACAAGGTGAAAGCCTGTCTCTACGAAAAATACAAAAAAAATTAGCTGGGCGTGGTGGTGGGCACCTGTAGTCTGAGCTACTCTGGAGGCTGAGGCAAGAGAATCGCTTGAACCTGGGAGGCAGAGTTTGCAGTGAACCGAGATCATGCCACTGCACTCCAGCCTGGTGACAGAGTGAGACTCCATCTCAAAAAAAAAGAGAGAACACAGTTCTGGTTTTCTCGCCTCTCCAGCCCAGGTCCTGGACTGTGACTGGGTTCTCCCGAGGTCACTACCTCAGGTGAGGGGTCAGTTCTGAGGATGCACTTGCGGGGGGCCAGGAACACTCTTGGCAGAGGGGAGTTCCCAAGGCATTCCTGCCAGGCTCTTGCTAGACCCTCTTTTCAAGGTGCAAAATGCTCTTCATTCTATAGCTAGGGGAATTTAGCATGAGGCAAGCCTGGCCCAGATGTGCGTATCTGGCCAACACACACAGCCTCCAGTGGATGGGAAACTAAGGTATGGGCTCTTGCAGGCAGACACCCAACTTCTGTAACACAGTGGTAGGAAAGCGTGCTGCGATGGAAAGCCAGGTGTCCCCTGCAAGGCCCAGCTCCCCTGGGAAGCTGCTCCGCTCATGAAGCCTCTCCTATCACAGGGGTCTGGATTTGATTCTGCCCCTCCTGAGGGCAGGGGCCGTGGCACACTCATTACTGAGGCCAGGCTGCACTTAACACAGTGGGAGGGGCTCACATCCCATTACAGGGTCCACGTGGCAGAGCCCTGGTCCTCTCACAGCACAGTGCCCAGCAGGGCATGCTAGCCCATCACCAGTTGCCTCTTGGCAGCTTCCTCTGTCATGGAAATGAGAGTTCTCCCTCGGCCCTGGATTTGTGCTGCTCCAGGCCCTGGGTGTTTGTTTTTTTTGGTCTGTGTGTTTGCTTTTTTGAGGTGGAGTCTTGGTCGTTCACCCAGGCTGGAGTGCAGTGGTGCGATCTTGGCTTACTGCAACCTCCAGCTCCTGGGTTCAAGCGATTCTCCTGCCTCAGCCTTCCGAGTAGCTGGGATTACAGGCGTGCACCACCACACCTGGCTAATTTTTGTATTTTTAGTAGAGACGGGGTTTCACCATGTTGGCCAGGATAATCTCTATCTCCTGACCTTGTGATCCGCCTGCCTCAGCCCCCGAAGAGCTAGGATTACAGGCATGAGCCACTGCGCCCAACCGCCCCTGGGTGTTTCTAATGGGGGCAGGGGTGGGAGGAGAGGAACCTCTGATCCCAAGAGACTCACAGGAAGCCCAGCTGCTCCCGTTGGTCCTGTCATCCCAGGGTCTCCTTTGCTGCCCTGAAACGGGAGAAAGAAATGCATGAATCCTCCCAGACGTGGTAACAATCTTTCTTGCCATTTTCTACTTTGGTATGAAACACAAGAAACCTCTCCAGTCCCCTCAAGAGCCCTCCAGGAAGCAAGGGCTGTGGGAAAGGTGGGGCGCTGCTGATGTGAACACTGCCTTGGGGAGGGGGCTCAGAAGCCCCCCTCACTCTCCCTGCAGCACAGCCTATCCCCTAAGGCCCCCCAGAATGACCAGTGGGGTCCTGGGCCTGGCTGGCCTGAGGCAGAAGCAGGGGAGAAGAAAGCCGAGCAGGAAGGCAGGGGAAGAGAAAGGGAAGAGAAAGAGAGCTTTGCTTCTTCTCCGGAGCCTCAAGGGTCACCCCTCAGAGCAGCCTCCTGATTTCCCCAAGCTAGTGGTCACGGAGAAGCTTGCGCCCTCTGCAGAAGCTCCTGCCCTCACCACCTGAGACACAGCCAGCAAGATGGGCAGATGGGGAGTGCAGGGAACTGCCCATGCAGGCAGAGAACTCGACGGATGTCCACGCAGGGACCTCTGAGCCCTGAGTGTGTAGAACCCAGGGGCTGGCTGGGAAGAGCTGATATAGAAAGACATACAACTCCCCTGCCTCCACTCAGCCGACGCCTTCCACCCTCATCCTCGGGCATGCCCATTTCAGCAGGACAGGCCTGGAACTGCAAGTCCTATGACATGGCCAATGTCCCTCGACAGCGACCATGGGAGCCTGGCCTATGGCTCTGGCCTCCTGACTTCTTGCTGTCCTCCAGGAATGATCTAAACACCACCTGGCCCTCTGTTCCATGCTGTTTCTCTAAATCATTACAAAGTTGAGGCATGTCCAGTGACAATGGCACCCAAGGCCTTGCCAGACTGAACCTGAGATGGACACAAGGTGGCTAGAAGCCAAAGTGGAGGAAGTTCTCCAATTCCTTTTTTTTCTTTTCCTCTTTTTTCTTTTTCTTTTTCTTTTTCTTTTTTTTAAAATAGAGATAGGACCTTGCTCTGTCTCCTAGGCCGGAGTGCAGTAATACAATAATGGTTCACTGCAGCCTCCACTTCCTGGGCTCAACTGATCCTCCTGCCTCAGCCTCCTAAGTAGCTAGGACTAGAGGTGCGCACCATCATGCCTGGCTAATTAAAAAAAAATTTTATAGAGTCAGGGTCTCACTATGTTGTCCAGGCTGCTTTCAGACTCCTGAGCTCAAGTGATCCTCCCACCCTGGCCTCCCAGAGTGTTGGGATCACCGGTGTGAGCCAACATGCCCGGCCTCTCCACCTCCTTTATCCCTCCAAGTCTAATTGACTCATAACTACACAACCAGCCCCCCTGTCCCAGGCTGCTGTGAGGATGACAGAAGAAGAGATGTAAGAAGGAAGGCATGAGGGCTGAGACCCCTGGTGTTGGGTCCCAGACCTGCCCCTCCCTACTGGCCGCCTGGGCCCCTGGCTCACTGCCCCTCCCTCCTGGCCGCCTGGGCCCCTGTGGTTCACTAACACTCACCCTCTCGCCCTTTGGTCCTGCTGGGCCTGGAACTCCAATTGGTCCTGGAGTACCCTGGGGAGGGGAAAGAAAGCAGAGGTGAGGGTCCCCACATGCTGGGGAGCCCTGGGTGCCCCACCCGATGCCTGGAGATGAGCAAGGTCCAAGGCCCAGTTTTCAGGGTTGGCGAGGCCAGGCTCGTTCAGGGCAGTCATTCGACTGGGCCTTGATCCTCTTTGGGTTCAGGGGCTGTTGGGGAGAGAGCACCTCCCCATGCCTCAGAGCCAGATTCGTGGACTGAAACCCTTTTGCTTCACAACCAAGCTTGCCAAGGCTGAAAACGGTGGGAGAATGGTTGCTTAGTTTTGCTCCCAGAAGCACTTGGGAGGGAGTGGACCCATCCCGGGGCAGGGGCCGGGGGCTGGCACCCTCTTTGCTGTTGCAGCTCCACATGCAGCGGGAGGGTCTTCATGCCACAGAGACGGATGCGGACGCACACACAGGGGCAGACGATAGAGGGTGGTTCAGCCAACGCCCACCCCACCCACCCACCGCAGACCCACAGCCCTGGCCTCAGCCTCTGGCCGGGGCCTTCTCACCCCACTCGCAGGCCTGCGGAACTGGCTGGATTGGGGGTGAATTAGGATGCCTCAGTGTCTGCACCGACACTGGCCTGGCAGGGGGGCGTGTCATGAGCTCTGCCAGCCCGGGGCTGGGGGCGCTGGAGTCATTGGAGCACGTGGCTTAGGCATGGAGCATCAGGGCTTGCTCTGGCCTCATCCAACATCTTCCCAGGTACCCAATTCACAGCCTGGCCAGACCAAGTCTTTAGTTCAGCATCTCCTATTGGCCTCAGATGAGGACAGGAGGAATGGGTTGGGCTGTGGGCAGTTTCCGGTGCTCTGAATGCATCTGCGAATGGTGGGGCATGACTTACTTCACAGGAGACAAAGAGGGGAGTAAGACGACCTCAGGGCCCCCTTTCCAACCACAAGGGAGGAAGGAAGGCTGTAGGCATCCATAATGGCACAGCAGAAAGTAAAAGGAGGCCGGGCGCGGTGGCTCATGCCTGTAATCCCAGCACTTTGGGAGGCTGAGATGGGCGGATCACCTGAGGTCAGGAGTTCAAGACCAATCTGGCCAACATAGCGAAACCCCGACTCTACTAAAAATACAAAAATTAGCCAGGCATGGTGGTGGGTGCCTGTAATCCCAGCTACTTGGGAGGCTGAGGCAGGACAATTGCTTGAACCCTGGAGGTGGAGGTTGCAGTGAGCTGAGATTGCGCCACTGCGCTCCAGCCTGGGGAACAGAGCGAGACTCTGTCTCAAAAACAACAAAGAGTCAGCTCAGGCCAGCGGTTCAGCGCAGCACCACGGAGTCACCTGGCTGGCCTTGCCTCGGAGGCCTACAAATTCCTGGGTATTGGAGAAGCTCCTTAGCCTTGCCGAATGTCAGTTTCCCCGTCTGTACCACATGTGTCTGCCTCCTCGACCGTGCCAGGTTTCCATGCATGAATGCATAGCAAGCATTTGGTGCTAAGCCTGACGTGTAGGAAGTGCCCAGTAAATGTTAATATTGGCAGGGAAGGCTTATTTTTCCCCCACATTTTCCCTTAAAGTTAGGATACTGATTTTATGAGGAAAAGAAAGCCTCAGTTCCAAAGGGATGGAGTGTGTGAATTTGTACTTCTTCCCTCGGTCTAACGTAAATGGGAGAAGCCATTGAGAGGAAAGTCTTGGTTTCTCTGATTGCAACCACAGATCATCCCCAAGCCCTGCCCCACACCTGAGACAGGCGTGCTAGGTGGGGGAAGAATGCAGACGGAGGGACTGCGGCGAAGGAGCAAAGCCACAATAACGCCTGGAAGCCGGGGCATGCTCTCCGCATGTAAGGGTTTAGGGTGTGAACTCCATCAGTGCAGGGAGGTGGGGGGCTCTGAAGAAGTCTGTCATCTTAGGCAAGCTATGCACCTCCTATGTATGAGGGCACAGAATAGGCATTCAGTAAGACGGGGCTCTCACGGGGGTCACTCTTGACCCCCCTACCTCTAAAAGCTCTGGGCTTCTCTTGGTGCTAGTTGCAAGTGCCCCTGGCCCCCTGGGAAGACCCGTGAGCCTGTGCTTCAGCACATCCTCTACGCTCCACACACGAACCCTGGCAAGGTCTCGCCTCCCCTGAGGGTGGCTCTAGCCAGCTAACTACAACTGCATGCAGGCCATGGGCAGACATGGCCTTGAAAGCCCTCTGTAGGACAGAGCAAGATCTCCCTGGCTGGAAGCAAGCGGCTGGGTACACAGAGCTCTCGTGATGGTGCCCGAGCAGGGACTCGAGACTTGAGGGCGAGTGAGCTCAACACCCTGCGAAGGTTGACCTCAGAGGGCGCTCAGGGGAGGGACCCGAAGGTGGACAGGAGGGATGTTTCCTCCGATCCTTCAGTTGTTAGTCATAAGCAGAAGGGCCAGGTGCTTTCTGGTCAAGAGTAAATGATGCCTGTTTTCTGGAATCAGAAAGAATGGAGGAAGAGAGGACCCAAGTGTGCCTCACTTGCTCTGTAATGAACCACCTTGTTGGGTTGCAGGGCGGCTGTGGTGTCATAGGCAGTGCAAAGTGGTCAGAATGTGCATAAGACACAGAGCTGGGCCTGGCTTCTGTGCTCCTACAGGCTACTTCTGTCCTCAGCCTTCAAAGCTGTCCTACCCCACAAATACCAGACTGGTGGCTGCACAAAACTAGGAGGCCCTCGTGGGAAGACAGGAGATGGACAGAGCTCACAGCATGAAGACAACACAGCATGACGGGCACACACAGACACTGGTGTGTTTGGTGGGGAGAGGCCATGGCTCAAACCTCCAGGGCTGGGCACCCAGGCTGGACTCAGCATTCCTTTGGAATCAGGAGCGGTGCTGCTGGAGTGGCCTCCCACCCCACACCTGGCAGGTTTGAGGTCCCTGGGTGTATTCTGTGGACTGGGGCATTCAGATGAAGGCCAGCCATATTTGGTCAAGAGGTCGGAAAAGGCCCTTCAGAGCATCGATGGCACCTTTCTGGTGTCGGAGGTGGGACAAGGTATGATTCACTGGGAAAATGAGGTCACAGTGGGACAGACAAAAGGGATCACAGGCCAGGTGTGGAGTGGGGTGGGGTGAGGGGTGATGGAGAAGTGACACTCACCGGTGGCCCAGGCCTGCCGTCCAAACCTGAAGCTCCCTGGACGAAGGGCACAGTTTGACCAAAAGAAGGGGAAGAGAGGATTGGGAGGGAGAAAAAGGGAACAATGGGGAGGGAAGAGGTGAGTAAAGCAGTGACTCTGGACAGACATAAATGCTGGTAATCAAACACAACTGGAGAAATAAGCTTGGGAGGACAGGGGATGGTATTCACATGGAAACCAACGAAAACATGGAGACACTGAATGCAGTGGCCGGCTGCTGAGCAGGCTGGGTGGAGGTCGGCGCGGATGGCCACCTGCTCCTCCCACTCCCGCCTCTCCTTTCTCCCTTTTTTCCCTCTCAGGAACCCCTCTCCCTTCAGTGTTACGGGGAAAGGGATACAGAAAGGAATGCTTGGAGAGATGTCTTGGAATCAGAGCTGTGCACCCTTCCCAGGACAGGTTTCACTGGGGAGGGGCCCCAGGTGAGGACGGCTCTCCCATCCTCTTTGCATTCCTGTTTGGATCAGGCCATGCTGTGGTGCCCCTGAGGGTCTCAACCCTGGGTGACAGCACCCAGTTGTGAAATCTGGGTAGGAGTTGGTCTGCTTATCCTTCAGCCTGGGGAAATGAGTTGGCTCTTAGATGATATTACAAATGATACTTGACATTTCGCTGGCACTTTACAATCTGAGACGCTCAACCCAAACTCGATCCATTCATATGCTCCCACATAAGGGCTCTTGTGTAGGCAAAGGCTTTGGAGGCAGCGGACTGGGACAGAGGTCTAAGGCCATGTATTTCCCGGAGCAAATGGGCAGCAGGTGGGAAGCTATGAGACCAACCCGCTATCAGCACCCTCGCTCGCTCTTGTCCGGTGAAACACATGGTTGGTGGTGGTGCCAGGGGGCGGGGGGCGCTCCTGTTCCAACCCTGGGTTATGAAGCTGCCTCTGAAACCCACCCAGGAAAACCCAGGGACCCTTTTCTAATGATTTCAATGTGACAAGTCAGGGAGAAGGCAGCGGCAATACTCTGGCCCAGTAAGGACTGAGTGCTTGAAAACTGCTTCCAACTGAGCCTCAGCCTCAGAATTTCAAATGAAAAGGAAGTCCCTAGAAGAGGGAGGCAACGAGCTGCTTCTTCATGGAAAAGGTGTTGGGTAGAAGGACTCTGCAGGGACTCTTCTCACATTTAGGACCACACGATTCTGGGACCGACCTTGACTCACTGGGCTAAAGAGCTGTGGTTCTCAGCCCTGGCAGCACATTAGAATCTCTTGGGGGCAATGTTAAGTAAAACATGCCTGGGTCCCACCCCATCCCAGCCCGATCCAATTCAAAATCTCCAAGAGCGAAGCCCGGGGTGATGGTAAGTTTGAAAAGCTCTCAGGGGATTCCAGTGTGCAGCCAGCATTGAGAACTGCTTCTGCAGGGCAAATGGGGGAACACTCCAGGATATGCCTGGAGAAGCAAGCTGCTACTACGTGGAATAAAACATTCAGGTGAAACCTGGAAACAGAATGGTAGCTACATATCCATGTACTTTAAAAAAATGCAGCATTAAAACTCAGTTGTCTTGTAGGTCTGGAGCAGAAGGCACAAATTGGAGGCTTTCAGGGCATATGTGGGCCACTGACATATTTTGTATGGTCTGCAGTGTTGCAAATAATTTTGATCTAATGTTAGAAAATGGAAAGATTTCACATAAAACACCAGATGTTTAGCTTCCTTTGAAAAATAGGAAGATCCAGAAATACCAGCTCCGCCTTCCTCCAAGGCAACAGTCAGCTGAGCTGAGAAGGGACGGTTCCCCTTAAAAAGGGATAAACGGTCTCTAGTGTACCACAATCCCCTCCATTCCCTAGTGTCTCCCTCAGGTTTGTGTTAGTTGTCTTGTATGAATATGCTTGTTCTGTTGTTTACTTAAACTAAAAAAAAAAAAAAATACTTCTTTGTACCCATGTCTTTATCAAAAGTGAGAAAATTAATGATAGAGTAGGTACTTTGTCTTTCATCTGGCACTTTCCTTGTTTATATTAATATTACTTGCTTGGTCTCCGTGCCTTTTACATTTCAACCCCTGACTGAATTCTCCAGTGTTCATCAGGGGCGTCGGGGCTGTGAATGTGGATAAGGAGAGGTGTGGTTGAGTGGGGCAGGAGGCTCTTTAATAGTAAAGAGCACTTAATCATTCCAGACACAGCGTAAGACATGGGAAAATGCCTGCTAAAGTCATCAGTTTTCTGTAGTCTGTCAAGCAAATTGGCTTCTTAAATATTCCTACCTCGAATGCATTCATGAGGGTATAATTATACCTCCTGCATTTGCTGTTTGGTTGCTGTGATTGTATTAACCAGGCCTTCAAGCTCTGCCAAGTGGGGGTAACTGGGCTTTCCATTGTTTCTCTGCTCGTTATGGCTACCTGGGGTGGGAACTGGCCTTGAGCCCAGGACAGAGGAAGCCTGAGTGGTTGGAAGGAGTTGCTTTGCAAGGCCATGGCCTCAGAGCAGCCTCTGGCTTGGCCACCAACTTTGTATGTGACCCCCAGTGACCCACTTTCTTCTCTGGGACCATCAGTGAAATGATGAGATGGATTGCTAACATCCCTTCCAGCTCTTGGAAGAATGCCAGAATGCCAGCCTCAGGGGAGGGTTAGGGGGCATGGAGCCCTGGCTCCAGGGAGGGTGGTGGGATGCACTCACCTGTACACTGGTGAGGCAGTGAAGAGGCCATCAGCCCTAACCAGCCCAGCCCCATATCATGACATGTGAACACCTTCGAGCAGTTGCCCACCTCTGACCTGAGGCCTCTGGCTCTGGGCAGGCTGATATCAGAGATCTCCAGGAACCCAGGAGATGAATGGCCTTGGCCTGCTGGGACCACAAAGTCTGACTTTGTCTGTGCCTTTCGGCCATGACCAGTGCTTAGGAGGGGAAAGCAGGAGTTCTCTTGGGGTCCCTCTGGGAAAATGACTGTAATGGAGACTATCTCCTTGTCCTACTACTTCCAAACCCTCCAAGCTTGGTTCCCATAAAGGCAGCAGGCTTTGATTGCTTCTGAACCAGGCTCAAGCAGGGCCTGAAGCTGCCCTACCAGCTCAGTGCCCCTTGGGGTGGGGGAGCCTGTCTTCTTCAGCATTGCCTTTCACCAGCACCGAGGTGGGGCCTGGGCCCAGAGGAGGAAGAGAATCAGAGCCTGCGGTCTTGCCCAGGTGGGAAAACCAAAGCATGTGGAGCTCTCCATGCTCAGACTCTAGAAACTTAGCTTTCCAGTGGCTGTCTCCCGGTTCCAGCCCACACCCCTGGCCCGTCAAACCCACCAGTCTTGCTGGGTCCAAGGTACTTACGGGTAGTCCCAGGGGACCACGGTCTCCTTTTTCTCCCTGGACGCCTTTCTCTCCTTTTGCTCCATCTAGTCCTGCTTCCCCCTGGAGGAAAGGGAGAGGGGATGAGATCACACAAGGACATGTCTCAGACAATTCATTCTTACATTCTGGGGTCCTGGAGACTGGGGTGGCATTTGTAGAGGAGGGAGGAGTCAGGGGTGGCGGGCTGAGGATACCAAGAATCCCTGAATTCTTAGCCTACTCTCGCCTCAATGAGTAGCCCATGTATCCTGTGGGAGCTTTGAGAGCCCCACAGAGAAAAGGACTAGGTGGTGGGGCGATAAACCCACAGGTCAGGCCTTGGCACAGGTGCCCAGCTGCATGGCAGGAAAGCAGGAACCTTAGAGAGATTTGCTCAGTTGCCTGAGATGCTACCCCCAGAGCCCTGAGGCCCACAGCCCAGTCGGGAGAACAAACTGCTCCAAAGTCTCTTGAATACTGGGGCACGAGGAAAGGGCCATTGTCACACCAACAGCCTCCAGCCCCCTCATCCATTTGAAATGCTTGAGGGGAGGCCAGGAGAGCCCAGTGCAGAGTTCCCCCAAGCTTGACCCGGGGAGGGGTCCCACCCTATGTTGCTGTCTCTCTCCCACCTCTACTCAGCATAAGTGAAGGGGCTGGGGCAGGTTTGATAGGAAAAGGATTTTAACCATTGGCTAAGAATCTAACCTGTCACTTTGTGGGGTGATGGATGGGAAGCTTCTGAAGCCAAAGCATGCCAGGTGTCCATGATGGATGCTAAAGGGAACCTAGAACTTCCCCCTGCCCTGACTGGACCCCCTTGGCTGGAGTGTCACATAATGCCTTCTAGGAAGAAGGGTCAGCTGGTCTCGGGTGCATTTTCCCTCTTTTCTACTAGCACTGACATAGCGCCTGTCATGTGACTTCTCCTTACCTTTGGTCCAGGAACACCTTGGAGCCCCTGCATTTGGAATAAAACAAGGTGCATTAGAACTGCATCTCTAGTTAACACAACTGCCTTGTCCACAAATGGAACACAGAGGAGCAAGGATTTTGGGTGCAGAGTGTGGTTTGGGGTCCCTGCCCATGAGAGGTAGAAGGAAATGCTAAGTGGAGGTCATGCTTGGGGCTTCCTAGGGAATAGTCTGAGCCAGTCTTTTCCAGCCAGGGCTCACAGAAAATTTCTCTGTGGTCCTCATGGTTGACCCAGAGTCTCATGAAAGAAAGATGCAGAGGTAACACAGCAAACATTAAATTAATACATGCAAAGTGCTTGGAACAGTGTCTGGCATCCAGTAAGTTTCAATAAACATTGGCTACTATCATTATTCCTACTGCTACTTCTACCATCCACAACAGAGGACACCAGTGCCTTGGGGACCACTAACCACACAGAGGCATGGACCAGCATCTGTTGCTTCAGGGTGCTTGGGGACCCTCTAGGGGCAATGCACAGGGGTCCAGTGGTTATATTTCTGTAGCCAAGGAAAGTCAATCCAGTGGGGCTGGGTCTCTTTCTTTCTTTCTTTCCTTCCTTCCTTCCTTCCTTCCTTCCTTCCTTCCTTCCTTCCTTCCTTCCCTCCATCCCTCCCTCTCTCCTTCCCTCCTTCCTCTCTTTCTTTCTTTTTGTGAGACAGGGTCTCACTCTGGTTGCCCAGGTTGGAGTGCACTGGTGCGAACTTGGCTCACTGCAGCCTTGACCTCCGGGGCCCAGGTGATTCTCCCACCTTAGCCTCCTGAGTAGCTGGGATTACAGATGCGTGACACCACACTCAGCTAATTTTTTGTATTTTTAGTAGAGACAGCGTTTCACTATATTGCCCAGGCTGGTCTCAAATTTCTGGACTCAAGTGATCCACCTGCCTCAGCCTCCCAGAGTGCCAGATTGGTATCACGGGCATGAGTCACTGTGCCAGACCGATGGGTCACTTTCAAGTGAGGATTGAGAGAAGCAGACGTTTGATGGCAAAGGGTGAGGTAAATGTTGGGCAGAGCTTATAGACAAGGGATCCTGGGGCTGCCCTACCAGTCAGCTATTTCCAGGAAACAAAGCAATGTGGTGCCCCCAGGATGGTGCTGTTTAACATGAGAGGGAAAAGGACAGGGGAGGGGGGTTTGTAGACTAGGAAATCCCTCCCTGGGAGGAAGAGGTGATAGTGACTAAGGATCAGGTTGAGCCCAGTGACTGCCATGGAGAAGGGACATTAGTGGACTGGCCACTGACAAGCCCTCTAAACTTACTGGAGGTCCGGGAGGCCCCTCTGGCCCTGGTGGCCCAGGAACCTAAAAGCCAAAGGGGAGCCCTGTTACACTTGAAGTGGCCCTCCCTCCTGACAGGGCCTAGGGCCCAGCTGGAGACTGCAAGGCCAGAGGAGGACATGGTTGCCCACTGGAGGTCAGCTAGTGACTGCCCAGCACAGTATCCCCCGAAAAAGGCCCAGAACACGTCAAAAACTCTTAGCAACCCAGTGGCCTGCTCAATGTTGAAAAAAAATTTCCAGGTAATGTCCCTAAAGATCTATTCTTCTTGATTTTTCTTGGAAGAAAAAAAGAAAGAAAAACACCAGAAGATCTAGCAGCACTAGGTTCTTGCTCATGCATGGCAACAATTGCCTGGAGTGGAATAAGAGTTTTCCCCTCTAGGTGGGGCATGACATCTTCAGTTTACTCTAGTCCCCACCACTCCCTATTGTCTTTGACCAAGAGCTCTTGCAGTCATTTTTTTGCATGCCTGGCCCTTGTAGACATTTGAGTTTGAGACCCTTGGCTTAGAGGAGCAGAGATTGGTTATCTGGAATGTGGGGAGACTGAGCTGTTCCTAAAGATTGCTCCTCAAGTCCCCAAGGTTTGTTACAGACAGGATGGGGACTGCTGGTCTCTGTTTCCCTTGAGAGCAGATGCAGATTGTGGTAGAGGAGATTCTGACTGGACAGTGAAGATGGAGGAGCTCAGGGCTATCTCCTCTATGGAGGGTGGTGCCCATTGCAGCTTCTGTCTCTGATGAACACAGACATCCTTTTGTCCACAGGCAGCCATTGCTGGGTCCTTCTGAGCTTCTCATCCCGCCTCGGCTTCGGGGCTCTCCTCAGGTGCCTTGTCTTCCCGTGGGCAGAATTCCCTGGAGCATGGCCAGGGGAGTGACTCCTGTGCCAGGCCACGACAGAGGGCACCCCTACACTGGGCAGAAAGGAGGTCCCTATTGTTTCCTGGACCTGTGGACTTTGTCGCTCCATCACAGTCTCCTTGCAGGGAACACAATCTTTGGAAACTCTGCCTTCTTAAAAAAAGTTTCTCATTTTTAATAAAAGTTTACCATTTTAATTCTTATTATAAATAAGTGGTTTATGTATCCTAATCATGGTATTGATTATACAAATCTCTACATGTATTAACATTCACAGAACTGGACATATTCCTGAAGTAAATTTTGCCTGTGTGGTAATTTTAAAAACAATAAAAAGGTTTCAAAAATTTAAACACTTTCTTGATATATCAGATGTGCTTGAATATATGTGTATACTTTTGATATTTATATATAATAAGCATATAATTGTATATACATATATGTATATGCTTATGATTTCATATATATATAAAATTTGGTTTTCTACTCTTTTTCACTTAATGTGAAACTGATTTTTCCATTTTTTATATGTTCCCCACCAGCTTCCTGGTAATAGTGCTGTGCTATTCATTGAGCGTAGTGAAAATGAGTTGTTACATACCCAGGGCTTAGTGCAGTGCTTGGCACGAGGAAAGCACTCAGACGTGGTGACTATTACTACTATTAGTATTATTACCATAAGTTATTTAATCCTTTCCTTCTTGATAGAAATTTAGGCTGTTTCCAATGTTTATTTTAAATACTTCCGGGAGGGACAGTGGGCGTATAATGCTTTTCCTGAATTAGGATCATTTCTTTAGGAGGCTCTCCATTTCGAAACAAGTACCATGCACATTGTACAATCAGGTCTGTTTCACTACCTGCAGATGGGGCTTGGCAAGGTGAACCCACCCTGATGGGGACTAAGAAGGCTTGGTGGTCCCTCCCATGGGTCTGAGGTGCTATTTGGGTTGCCCAGACCCTGCCACCAAACATCCTGTCTCTCACACATCCTTGATCTCTGTTGCTTTCCTGGTTCTTGCCCCTGAGTCTACAAATATGCCTGATTTTCCGCTGTCTTTTGAAAACCTTGCCTCCATCCTGACTACTTCTCACTCAGTTGTTCTGTCTTCTCCTCCTTTCACCATCTCACTTCTCAAAAGAATAATGCCTCTATCTGGAAAGCCTACCTCTGAAACTTTGTGGCAAACTCCTACAAAGCCATCAAGACTCTGCCCAAATAGCACGTCTTTGGGGATGCTTGCCTGATTCCCTAAGTTGCTCCCATGCTAGTGCCCATCATGGGGTACTGTGAACGGCGAAGGGACGGATCTGTTTATTTTCTTCCTTTTTTTTTTTTGTTTTGTTTTTGTTTTGTTTTGAGGCAGAGTCTCACTCTGTTGCCCAGGCTGGAGTGCAGTGGTGCAATCCTGGCTCACTGCAACCTCTGCCTCCTGGGTTCAAGTGATTCTCCTGCCTCAGCCTCCCAAATAGCTGGGATTACAGGCACCTGCCACCACTCCTGGCTAATTTTGTATTTTTAGGAGAGACGGGGTTTCACCATGTTGGCCAGGCTGGTCTCGAACTCCTGAACTCAAATGATTCGCCCATCTCGGCCCCCCAAATTGCTGGGATTACAGGCATGAGCCACTGTGCCTGGCAAGTTCTGTTTACTTTCATATCTCCAGACTCTAGCACCAGGACGGAAGCACAGGAGGTGCTCTATGAAGGTTGCTGAGAGATGTGGTTTGAGAAGACTGGAGCAGTCCAGAGGCTCAGTGCCTGACCCACGGTGGTGTTCAGTAAACCTAAACGTCAGGCAGTTGCAAGCTTCATTCTAAAGCATAGAAACACTGTGCATTCTGCAGAGACTGTCGTTTGATGGGTCTCTATCAGATTATCTCTCATGTACCTCTGCTCCTGGATCGCCCTTCTCCCCGGCTTCTCCTTTCTCTCCCTGTGGGCACAGAACACCACTGCATGAATGCCAGCCCTTGGGAAAGGCTGGGACAGACGTACCCTCACATCCGTGACAAACTAGACTGGGACGCGACTAGTCTAGGGGTCAGCAAGGAACACTGTGGAGGATGTGGAGGTGTCAGCCTGCAGGACAGAAGACTGGGCAGGGACTGTCATCACGGTCTTGAAGAATCTGAGGCTCTAGTACAGGAAGAAGAGGCTGATACTCTCTATGGACTGTGCAGCGGACAGGCCTTAGGGTGACCTGTGACTTTTTTCTTAGCCATGGAGTAAGGCACATGGCAAAGGTGATGGAACCTCACTTCTATGATTACGTTGCAGATTATAACATACATGCCATACAGATGGTGACATATAACATATGTTAAGATTATGTTACAAATATGTTACACGAACACACAAACACACATGCACACAGCTCTGTCTTGCTAGCACTAGACACTAGGGAGACCCTACTGCTGGCCTTGGCCTTGAAGATGCCAGTGGCTATAATGTGAACTGTCTACTGTGCAGGGGGTGGGGAGGGCGGGGGCGCAGGTGGCAGGAACTGTAGGTGGCCTCTAGGAGCTGAGTTCTGTTCCAGCAAGGAACTGGATTCTGCCAATACCAGTGAGCTTGGAAGGGGATCCCTAGCTCCAGATGAGAATGCAGTTGGCTGACACATTAATTGCAGCCGCATGAGACCACGGGCAGGGGACCCAACTAGGATGTGCCTGAACTCCTGACCCACAGAAACTATGTGCCAATACATGTGTATTGTCTTAGGCCGCTACCTTTACAGTAATCAGTTACGCAGCAATAGATAATAAATATGGCTCCAGAGGCTCTGAGGTGTCACCCGGGGGAGGCTGACGAGGGAGCTTCCACATCATATCCAGGAGTGCTCCCTCCATCCTGGGGCTGCCCCATGGCGCAGTGGACAGGTCTGGAGGCAGTGAGCTGCCTGCCTGTGCCAGCTGAGTGAGGAGTCCTGTACTGGGTCAGACTTGGGACTGGTTGACCTCTGAGGCTCTTTCCACTTCCTAGAGGAGAGTTCTGAGACCAAGCTTCTAGCACCTTCAAACTAGGTTGGTGCTTCTAGAGGCCATCATACTGTGAGCCGAGGAAGTTGCAACTCCTGTTTACACTCAAATGCGGTAGCTACTTGTTAAGAGGACCCCCTCTGCCTGCTCCCAGGCTGGGTAGGCAGGCTTGGGGTTAGGGCAGCCTCATCACAGTGCCAGGCGCCCGCTAGGCTGGTGGCCGCAGGGAGGACCCTCGTCTGTGGCTGCCTGCAGACAACCTTGACACCCAGCCCTCTGGCCTCACTGTAAACCTCAGAAGCCCAGCTGGACTAGGCAATCCTGCCACTCCGGTCTGCTGTGGCCACGAGGTTCTCCTTCTCTCCCCAGTTGGGCTGTCTAGACCCTACAAAATGACAACAATTTCTGTTAGTGGAGCTCAAGGTGGTCTTGCTGAGTGTGACCAACTGTGGCATGCACAAGATGTGGCTCCCTTGCTTCAAGGGTAGGTGCCTAGGATGGCACCCATTTCACAGATGGAAACCCCTGAGACCCAGAGAAGGCTCCCAAGTCAAGTTGGCAGCCTAGTGGACTGGGCGAAGGCCCCGTTTCTGTACATGCAGCCTCTCCTGGGTATAGGGCTTCTGTACACTTTCCAAAGAGGCAACTCTAAACCATGACTTCATCTCCTTCCCAGCAATCTAGTGAGGTATCCAGGGAAGACATTGTTATCGCCATTTTAGAGATGAGGAGACGGAGGCTCTGCAAGGCTCAGTGGCTTTCCCAAGGATACAGCTGACAGAGCAGGACTTAGGTCTCCTGAGTCGGGAAATTGGCCTTCATAAAGTGAGTGACTTGAGGGGAAGCTGAGTGAATCCCCCACCCCTAAGTCCTGGCCCCAGGTTTCTAGCCCAGGCAGCAGCTGGCACCATGCAAAGTGCAAAGAAGCTCGCGTCATGCTTGGGAGTGGCGTATGCACGGAAGGGCAGCCAGCCGTGCCACTCACCGGCGAGCCTGCTTGTCCTGTCTCTCCTTTCTCTCCCTTTTCTCCTGGGCTCCCTGGGTGCCCGTTTTCTCCTTTCATTCCTGGAGGTCCATCCTTTCCTGGGGGGCCTTGGGGACCAGGAGGGCCCATGTCTCCTGGTTTACCGCGAGGTCCCTTTAGAAAATACCAACAACGCTTCTTAGACACATTAATGGAGAAAAGAGAAGAGAGGGAGAGAGAACAGAAAAGTCCAAAGGCCTTGGCTCGTTGATGCTTGACTGGGGCAGGCAGAGAGAGCCCAGGCTGGGTCTGCCTGGCTCCTCCTGGGGCTTGCAGGGTGGGTCCCTCTCCCTGCCCCTCCCCATCTCCCCTTGCCCACTGGGCTCACACCAGGGCCCGTTCTAGCGCCATCCTGCCCCGCCTCCTGCCCCCAGGGCCAAGACTGTCTTCAGAGGTTTGATTGGAGGATGTCTGTTCATACCTTCTCCCCATCGTGTCCTGGAGGGCCTGGCAGTCCAATCTCCCCCTGTAGCCAGAACAACTAAAGGTGACTCTCAGGGCAGAGACCATAGCAGCCATCAGTTACACATTGCTTAGTGCACCCGGCATCCCTCTCCACACTTTCCCATAGAGTTTGCTCATTTAATTCTCACTGTGTTGCTGGGAGGTATGCACTTGCAGCCGCTCTTCAGTAGACAAGACTCCAAAGCACAGAGTTGTGTGCCTGAGGCCCACAGTCAGTGAACTGGGGAGCCAGGATCCCAGTCTGGACACTCTGGCTCCATGTCCATGTTTTAGCCACAACCTCCCACTGCTACCTCTGAGAGCCCTAGGTGCCCTTAGCTCCCTTGCAGAAGGATTCTTGCCTTCCTGTCTTCCCTGAATGCAGAACCCCTGCCCTGGCTGCTCCACAGGGTGCTCCTTTCATCTTCACACAAGCCAAGCCCCTTCTTTGGGTCAGGTAGGGAGTTAAGGGAGGTGGCAAAAAGATGTAGGTCCTACCCAGAGGAAAGGGCAGGGAATTCTGCCTGACAGATCAGGGCAGGCGTCAAAGAGGAGGTGGTCTTTGAATTGGGCTTGAAAGATGAGAAGGGCTTTGAAAGAAAGGGAAGAGGGAAAGAGACTTGCAGGGGAGAGGACATCATGAGTGGGAGACAGAGGGGCAGACCTTCTGAGAAAAACACAGGTGGGTGGAGTGTAAAAGGAAAGCAAGGGCAGGGACTGAGGTGGGAGGATTGGGGAGGGGCTCAAATGCGGAGGTCCCTGATGGGGTCCTCATTCCTGCTGTGGGTCTGGGTGGGGCAAGGGCAGGGGTGTGTCTAGACCCAGACCTCACCGCATCAGAAAGCTCTGTGAATTACAGGAGCCCAAGCAGATGGCAAGGGGAGGACAGAAGAGCGACAGCGGCTGGGAGGTGGGTGGGTGGGGCCCTTGGTGCTTTGGAGCAGCAGGAGGGTATGGCGGTGGTGCTGGGAAGATGAGAGGGTCACAGGAGGAGGGGAAGCCCTGGGGTCGCTGCCCTTGCAAGGTCTTCACCCCCTTTGTCAAGACAAGATTTACCTTCTGGCCTGGAATCCCTGGAGCTCCAGGTGGGCCAATTTGCCCAGGAAGACCAGGAGGCCCCTAGGAAAGAAAGGAAAGACACATGGAGAACTGTCCCACTGAGGAGGGTAGCCTGTCTCCCGAGGGCTGTATGTAGAGGCTGGCTTATAGAGATAAGTTGTTTTCAAACCTTTCTCCAGTGATAGAAGCACATTTGTTTGCAAAGAAAATAACATGGGGAACCCAAAATGCAAAACATATAAGCACCAAGTGTGACTGGGTTGAAGTGGAGGTGGGGTTTGGAGAGCCACGTCCAATACCCTCTCCTCCTTCTCTCTAGGGCACCTCTGGCGACCCTTTGGGTTCCAAGAAGCTAAGTCTGACCTTCCCCAATAATGACTTAAAAACGTCTCCAGGAAACAACCCAAATGCCCATCAACAGGGAATGCATAGTATGTCCATACAATGAAATACTACTCAGCAGGGAAAAAGAACCAAGTGCTGATGGTGAGAGTGCATCTCAAACACATTTTGCTGAGCAAAAGCAACCAGACACAGATGCTGTGTGATTCCATTTACATGAAACTCTAGAAGAGGCAAAAGACACATCTAATCTACAGTGACAGAAGTGACAGCAGAGCAGTGGCGGCCTGGGGCTGGGAGTGACTCCCAAGGTACATGAAGAAATTTTCTAGAGTGATTGGGTGGTGGATACCTGGGTATATGTACTTATCAAAATTCATCAAACTCTACACCTAAAATGAGTACCTTTTATTATGTGTTAAGTTACACTTCAAGGTTGATTTTAAAAGAAAAAAAAAGTTTCTGGAAAAGTTTTATTTCCAATAGCTATTTCACATTATTATTATTATTATTAAGACAGAGTCTCACTCTGCCACCCAGGCTGGAGTGCAGTGGTGCCATCTCGACTCACTGCAACCTCCACCTCCCGGGTTCATGGGATTCTTGTGCCTCAGCCTACTGAGTAGCTGGGATTATAGGCACCTGCCACCATGCCTGGCTAATTTTTGTATTTTTAGTAAAGACAGGGTTTCACCATCTTGGCCAGGCTGGTCTTGAACTCCTGACCTTAAGTGATCTGCCCACCTCAGCATCCCAAAGTGCTGGGATTACAGGCATAAGCCACTGTGCCCTGCCAAATAATATATGTTAATGTCTCCAAATGAAACTCATTGATTCCAGAACCATGTCATTAATAGCAATTTCTGGGATTGGGACGTCAGAGAAGTGGTGTTTGATTTTGAGTTTGTGCCATCCCTAAGTGTGTTCTGTGGCTCATAGCCATGAAAAAATATTAGGTGAATTGAAATTTCAGTAGTCAGAGAACCACATGATTTCTCCTCCCGTCCTCTACCTTAGAAGTTAAACTTGGTGGTAGTCATTTTAACTACAAATATTTACCAATAGCCTGTCACCAGTAGGCACCTGTACAAAACCCAGGCTTGAAATTCCCTGGTTTTCCAAGTGCAGATAATGAAACTGATTTCTAGGAAAGGGGGATATGTGGGAGGTTGCTACTAGTTTTTCAGGGTAATGGATTTAATTAGCTAAAAGTTGGGAAAAAAGAGAAACATTAGAAACATCCTCCTCAGTACTGCTATTTCCTTGACATAGCTGTAAATAGAATCCAGCATTTGTATTGTCACCAGAGAGCACAGCTGTATTGGTGAAGAGCCTCTACATGGAGGACAGCCATGACCCAGGGCATGGGCAACCCTTGAGGCCCACCTACCAGTCCTGACCCATCACCTCCAGCTCAGATCATCGTCTGCCTCAGCCCTGTTGGGTCAACCCTAATCTGCAGCCCAGGGCCTTCTTTCTGGAGGGAAGAAATCAAGTCCTTGCTTCCAGGCTGCCGTCCCCAGCCCCCAGCCCAGTGCCCAAGGAAAGCCAGGAGGAGCAAGACTTACCATCAAGGCCAGTGTTCGGATCTCCTAAAAAACCAACACCAGGCAATCAGTTGAAGAGCAAACCAAGAGCCAACTGGAAGGTTCTCACTGCACAGTCATGGAAACAGGGGATCTGGGCCCCTCAAAGGAGCATGGGTGGAGGGGGACCCTCGCAGGTGGGCTCCATGGTCCCCAGACTCACACCACCCCCACCCCCACCTCTCGATGAGGTTTGTAATCACTGGACAGAGAATATGCAGCATCTCCTAAGCATAATTATACTCTAAGGCTGTCCTACAATGGACTCAGGCACACCCTGAATGGACTGCAACCTCTACTTCAGTTTACTGAAAGGGAAGGAAGCACCACCTCTTATTCTTTCTAGTCACCATCTGAGGACCCTCCCGTGTTCTTTCCTCCTCTCCCAGGACCCAGATTTCAAAGTTGCCATGCACCTCCCTTTAAATAGGCACAGGATAGCAAAATATGGAACCGCTCAAAAAACAGATCAGAGAGATGACTTTTGGCTTTAAAAGAGGATTTTACACCTTGTAAATGGAGTCACACATGGACACAGACTCCTTTGAAGAAGTGGTTCTTGAGCAGGGGCAATTTCTTCCCCCAAGGGATAATTGGTCATGTCTGGAGACATAGTTTGGTTATCACAGCTGAGGCTGGGGTGCTACTGGCATCTAGCAGGTAGAGACTGGGGACGCTGCTGCACATCCTACAACACACAGGACCGCCTCTCCCCCCACCACAAAGATTCTCCAGCCCCAAATGTCAACAGTGCCAAGGCCGAGAAACCCTGCTTTAAAGGGTGGGGAGCGGGAGCTCATGAACTGGAAACAGGATTAAACTGACATGAAAGGAGATGCGTTCCAGGAAGATTTTCTGCTGTGTGAAAGGGGGTTATGCATACGTTAGAGAAATGGGGCCCCAGTACCCTGGATGGGCCATACCTTGTGGAGTGCCAGGATAATTCCACTGTGGCACTCAGGGGCCCAGAGGCAGGATAACTGGCCAGCTGGGCCCAGACAGACAACCCGGCCACCTGGATGCCAGTAATGGGGCCATTTGCCAGGAAGCTACACAGCGGGAGGTCGAAGGAGAGAAAGTGAGGAAGCAGCTCTCCTGGAAGCGCTGCCTGAGGGCCTGAGGGCCTGAGGGCAGGGCCCCTACTCAGCTGTGTGGAAGGGCCCCCTGATCAGGGCATGGTGCAGAGCCCTGAGGTCCATGAGGATCCTGGCCTCTGGGCTGGACCCTGCTCACCTGGAGAGCCTCATTGATGTTTCCATTGTAATCCACCATCTCTCCTTTCCCTGGTTCTCCCTTGGAGCCCTAGAAGGCAAATGAGATCTCAACCCAGGGCCTGGACCAGGAGGGCCTGGACGAGGAGGGCCTGGAGAGCGACTGTGGCCTGCTCTCTATCCGCCCACACTGGCTGCACCTGGCTGCACACACGTGGACCCAGAACAGCCAGCGGGGCCCTGGGGATTCCGAACACTCTCAGAGGATGCTCGGGGATTGCAGAACAAATGGAGGACTCCATGTGAGAAGTCTGGGCTAGGCCGAACTGGAAAGGTTGGGTCCACCTGTCCTGCCAGTTAGACCTCCCACCTGAGGGCCAGAATGCTCTTCCCCTCCTTCCCTGTCAAGACCCCAAGGTCAAGCCTGTGAAAGGAAGATAAAAACTTGGGACCCCAGTTCACTCGGCCAAAAGAAAAAAAAGGTTAAGCTGAAAGCTGAGTCATGCAAGAAGCTGCCTTTCCTTTTGTTCCGAAGCAGAGAGCTACAGATAAAAGGTTCAATATCCCCACAGGTAGCTGCTCCACGTTCACCTTAGCTTACGTAAAGTGCCGATTTACTGAGCGTGAGACTAATACATAATCAACTATTCTGCTACTTGCTCCTTTTTCCTTGCAATGTGCGAATTACCATACCCTTCCTCTTTCCCCTCCAGCCTGCTTTTCCCCTTTAAATATCGAAGCCCTCAAAATCATCTTTGGCAAAAGGCACAGACATGTCTCTTGGGCATGTGCCCTTAACCTTGGCAAAATAAACTTCTAAATATTAATTGAGACCTGTCTCAGATGCTTTTTGATTTACCAGCTGCTTCACACTGTGACTCCAGGCGAGAGAGGCACGTACCTTGGGGCCAGCTGGTCCCTGTTCTCCAGCTGCTCCAGGCTCCCCCTGTTGCATGACAAAATTGGAGCGAAGTGGGGATGAAGTTGGTACAGAGAGCCTGATGTCCCTAGATGGGCCATGTAATAAGGGCCAGGAGGCTCCTCTTAGTTCTTAGTTCATAGAAGTGCAGGTTCCGCCCTTTCAGGAAACATCCAGGGAGCACCCACCCACACTCCTCTGTCCCTCTGAGTCCCTCTGGGACTCGGTTCTGAGTTCTGGGTCTGAGGTCCTCCCACTTCAGACTCAGTGGCATTCTTTCTGTTCTGTGTTCATTGTTAGTGACTCCCCTTTGTCTCTCTCGCACCTTTTCCCCAGTCCCCTGAGTCAGTTGCCTCCGTGGGAACAGGGACATTTGCTTCTCTTTAATTCTATTCTGCTCAGGTATCCAGGGCTCAGCAACTTTTTGCCAATTATCTGGGTGTCAGTTGCCATCGAGAGCCCAAACGGTTCTTTTGCTGCCCACTCTGCTCGTGAAAGACCCGGAATGCCGAGTGAAACGTGGAGGGCCAGGAGGGTCTCAGGAGGACATGGGTGTATGAGCACCCACCTCCCAGAGTGGGCAGGTAGAAGGATTTGTTCCTGTTGCAAACAGGACAGAGCCATGGGGAATAGATGAAAAAGCGGTGTAACTTGTGAAAAACCAAGCGCAGTTTCAATTTTTCTGGGATAATGAAAGACAATTGAAAAAAACCAAGATAGAAAGTAAAAATAAAGGAAACAAGAACCCTTTGGTGTGACTCCTGATGACCCTGCTCATGGGACGTGGAGCCACTGCTGCCTCTGGGTAACCCGCTGTCTTTCTCCTCCACTGCCACAGCACTTTAGCCACTGTGAACTCATGAGGGACGCAGCAGCCTTTCACAGGGAGTAGCTGGAGAGAAGCAAGAGCCCCTCATTTACCAGTGGCTTGGGAAGCTTTGTGTCACTCCCCGGTCAAGCGTCCCATCCTAGACTGGCTTTTGCATGACTGCTGTCTCAGTGGATGGCTCTCTAAAGCCCAAGCCAACCAGGAAATAGGGAAGCCAGGGGTCATGGCCAGTCAGCCTTGGGCCCTGAGAGATACCCTGAGGGCTGGCTGGGACGATTCTTGACCTCCCAAGCTGACCCTCATCTTGCAGCTCTGGGATGTGAGGGTCTCTGTACCTTGTCTCCTTGCCGCCCTGGGGGGCCGACCTGGCCATCGACACCCGCTTCTCCCTGGGGAAGAGGAGAGAGTTGGGATGAGGGCATGCTGGGCACCTGGACAGCTGCTTCTGGGGGAAAAGATGGTCTTGCCGCTCATGCCCTGGGTGTTGCCTTTGGGCCTCTCTTTCCCCGATGGCTTCAGCACCTCCCACTGTTCCACCTCCCTGACTCCTACCCACCCTTGGGCCCAGCCCAGGTCTTGCTTCCTCTGGAAGCCCACCCCTGCTTTCCTCCCCTGCATTCTGTACCCTTTACTGGTGTCCACTCTGCCCTGCCAGGCCTTCCTAGGCCCACGCAGAGCCCAGCCTGTGGCAGGTGGATGCGGGCGGAATGAATGAGTGTATTGCCCCAGGTCATGTAGAGTAATTCACGCTTTCCTTCTGAGCTAAGAAAGAGATCCCCTTCATTTCTCAGGGCTGCTAAAGTAAACCAAGCAACACAGGAGGCATCTGCTTTGGGAAACCCAAATCTTACCGTTGCACTTTTCAAGCAGCAAAAGGAAAGTGAGGGCAGTTTCCATTTGCAGCTGCCTCCACTGCTGCCACCTACCAGATGTGCTGGTACCAGGTGGGGCCCAGCTGATAGTTGACCTGCAACCTACTCAGAGCCAAGGTGGGGGGCCTCTTGGCTGTCCTGAGGCCCTGAAGCCATCGGTCCCTCGCTCAGTTACAGCATAGCCATTGAGGTCCTGCAGCCATTGCGCCCTGACTCAGTTACATCAGAGTCATCTGAGTCACTGGGACTATCCATCTGCCCCAGGGAAGACATCTCCTCTGAAAGGTCCAACTGTTATCTGCTTGGAAGCAGGAGCTGGGTCCAAATGACCTTTTTGGAATCCATGGGGAAAACCACACATCTGGAGCAGGGGAAGGCTAGAGAAGGTGGGATGTCCGGGATGTAGAGTCCCGGAGAACAGGCTGAAGACAAAGTCCCCAGGTAAACGCCTCCCCGACACTGATTCCAGGGAACACTCACCTTTGGCCCTGGGGGTCCAGGGAGCCCTGGAGGGCCAGGTTCCCCTCTGCCTCCTCCAATGGAGTTGCCAGCATCACCTTTCTCTCCCTGAGGGTGGAAGGTGGAGTTAGCGTCCCTGGTGTGGAGGAAGGTCTAGGCTGAGCACTGGAGGGACACTATGGAGTGTGGGCCCCAGGATGTCTGGGGACCGACCAGGGGCCTTCAGAACCCCAGACTGGTCTGATCCAGCCGTGGGATTTGAAGAGAGATTGGAAGTGTGTACTGAAGGGCAACAGGTTTAGAGCTGATACAAGGGACCCTTCAAAACTGGGTCTGGAGCAGTGTTTCTCAAAGCGTATTCCACGGAACACTGCTCAGTGGGTTGAGAATATTCAAAATGGGGAATAACATTGTTATTGGTGGCCAAACTATGTTAAGCAATGCAGCATTAAATAAGGCTTTGCAGACCCTATCACTGCAGGGTGCTCTAGCCTCTAACAGGCTGAGGAGCACTGCGACTCTCCAGGAGCCCATCTGATTATGCACACCTCCCCTAACTTATTTTGGCCTCATCTTTTTTTTTTTTAATTTTTAAATTAAATATCTTACAGAGCTCATGAACTGTGGGATGCATTTGCAGAGCTGGTACAAAGAAATCTGACCAGGTCATCGCTACCGAATTCTTTACATTTAGACATTTTATTTTTGCCAATCAGGGCCTGCCTATGGCCCCTCTCCCCTAACAAACAGAATCTGTCTGTGTTCCAGCTGCCTTTCCTGCAGTCTGGGAGACAGACACATCCAATGCTGGGGCCCATGTGGATGTGCAGGGCCGGGTGTGGGATGTGGGTGACGAAGGACCTGAACCCTCATTCAGAGTAACACCTACCTTCTGCCCCAGGAGGCCAGGAAGCCCAGGGGAGCCTTCAGCCCCCTTCTCACCCTGCAGGGAGATGCAGACAGTGGGGGGGTTAGGAACTGCCTCTGCAGCAGGTTTGGGAAGCCACCAGCCCCACAGCTTAGGGCCTTGCCTTCCCTTGCTCCTGCCTCCCTGCTTCTGCCCCTGGCTGGCTTTCCGAAGGGCTCCACTTCCTCCTGGCCCCCATCCCGGCTGGCTACTTCCGTGGGCCACTTCGCATTGGTGACATCTGCATGACTGCTTTCCTTATTCCCATGTGACCCGGGCCCTTGTCATTCATGCTGGGGAGAAGTCACACAGGCCACAGATCATAACAAAGGCCAGAAGCATCTAGTCTATCCTGGGGGTCTCCTGGGAGAGGTGAGCAGTTCAGAACGCCAGTGGTTGGGCAAGCAATTCCTTTTCACCACTCTGCTCTTCTTCAGATTCTTAATGCTTAGCAACTAAGGGCCCCCCGTCTTTTCTAACACCCCCCTCTCCGCCTCTAGCTATAACTAGCTCATCTTATTTGGACACAGGGTCATCGCAAATGTAATGAGTTAGGATGAGGTCCCACTGGAGTAGGGTGAGCCCCTATCCAATGTGCTGATGTCCTTATAAAAGGGAGAAATTTGGGCACAGACATGCACATAGGGAAATGCCATGTGGAGATGGAGGCAGAGATTGGGGTGATGCGTCTATAAGCCAAGGAATGCCAAAGATTGCCAGCAAGCACCAGAAGCCGGGAGAGAGGCCTGGAGCAGATTCACCCCCTTGGCCCTCAGATGGAACCTGCCCTGCTAACACCTTGCTTTTGGACTTCCAGCTTCCAGAACTGTGGGACAATGAATTTCTTCTGCTCAAGCCACCCAGCCTGTAGTACTTTGTTACCACAGCCCTAGCAAAATAATACACTTACCTACTCAGCTTCTTCCAGTACAGAAGAACTCCTTTTTCCCCCATGACATGAATCATAGAGCCCCTTAGAGATACTGAACCCCATTGTCATTTCACAGATTTGGCGGGGGAAGCCCCAGGAGGTTACGTGACTGGTGGCCAACCCCTTACTAAGTCAGTGGCAGAGGCGGCTTGAGCCCCTGTCTCCCAGTTGCTCTGCCCTTTGGGACACAAAGGCTTCACAGAGCAGCTGTCTTGGTCAGCTCAGGTGGCTATAACAAAGTCTGAGTGGCTTTGACAGCAGAAATGTATTTTCTTACAGTTCTGGAAGCTGGAAGTCTGAGATCAGGGTGCCAGTATGGCCAGGTTCTGGTGAGAGTCCTCTTCCTGCCTTGAAGATGATGGCCTTCTTGCCGTGTTCTCACAAGGCAGAGAGGGAGAAAGGTCTCTCAAAGCTCTCTCTCTCTCTTCCCTTTCTTCTAGGGTCACCAATCCTATTGGATTAGGGCCTCAACCTTATGGTCTTATTTAACCTTACTGACCTCCCCAAGGCCAAGGCCCTATCAAAATACAGCCACACTGGAGGTGAGGGCTTCAACATAAGAGTCTGGGAGGGACATATTCAGTGCATAGCAGTGTCCAATATCAGGTGAGCTTCCAAGAGCACCCCACCAGCAGGGCTGGGGTATCAGGTCAGCACAAGAAGCTTTGCTACCCATGGCCCTGGGGAGAGGCAGTTCTCATGTGTAATAATGTGAGCTGAGGGCTCTGGGCTTATAATTTGGTCAGATGTCTCAATGAACATTCATTCCAGCTGGAGCCACAAAAGGTACCACACCAAGTCTTTGGGTGTCTTCTCCTTGGCACCTGCCCCGGGGTAGCAGCTGAATGGTAAAGTGGCCTGAGGCTGGCCAAGAGGGGTTGTGGAGGGCCAGGCAGAGGCCCTGGCAGTGGGAGGGAGTCCCCGCTGCCCTGTCTTGCCTGGGCTGCTCCTGCAGATGTGCTTAGTCTGGGCGTCCTTCAGAAGCAGGCCAGGTGGAAAAGGAAAGGGTGTGGGTCCTGACCTATGGAGCTCCTCGGGGAGCAGAGGTGGAGGGAGGCAGGTTCCTCCTTCTGCTGGGCTTTCTGCTGGGTAATCAAGGCTGCCCAGGAGAGTGGGTGTGCTCTTGAGGTCGTTTCTGAAGCTTGGCCAGGCCATCCTGCCACTCCCCTCATCTTGGGACACATGCACCAACAGCACGCTGCAGGCGACACACCAGCCACGGAGGAAGGCCAGGGAGTAGGGGACTGGTGAGGCCAGGACGAGGGGGCACACACTCAAGTACACGATATCCTACCCTCTGCCCCCTCTTTCCCAGCAAACCTGGGGGCCCCGGCTTCCCTTCTGCTCCTGGATCTCCCTTTGGGGTAAGAAGAGAAAGTCACTGATAAGAAGATGGGGCAGGGAGTGAGGGGTAGGATGGGCAGTGATCATTGACCAGCATTTCCAGAATACTTGTCCCTTAAGCTCTTCCTCTTTAAAAAAGGGTGTTCTGGTCAAAAAAATTTTGAAAATGCCACATAAGATATTTCCTTTTGAGAGCTCCTCAATGCACATTTAGCAAATTAAAGGTTCTGAGAAGGTCTGCAGCAAAGAAACCTGTGTAGTATTTCTAACCTAGTATTTCTCAACTTTTTTTTCTTGTCACATCTCTTATTGTCATACAAGAGGGAAGAACCCTGTAGGTGCAGGGGACAATAGTGACTGCCTGCTGCCGCTAGGCCAGGACCCAGGGAGGGGGAGGCATTTGCAGTGTGCTCCTGACCAGTGGGCCCTTCTCTGCTCAGCCAGGTCCCCAGCCCCAGGCCAGCCTCAGGGGGACCAAGTGCAAAACAGCAGCAGCCCCTCCCACCTCTGCCCATGACCAATGCTCTGTGCAGCCCAGAACATTCTCTCTGTATCAGTACCTTGGTTCCTGGGATCCCTGGCTCGCCCTGTGTGGAAAAAGAGAAACAAATGTGAGACACAGAAAAAGCAGAAACAAATGAGCAAGGCACCTGTTGGTGGAGGTGGGGTGGGGGGCAGTCGGGGTGGGATTAGTGAAACATCTGGCCAGCCCCGGCTCTTCTCTGTTCAGGCATCAGGTCCCAGGCCAAAGGAGGCCTATCAGGCTACTGACCCTTAGAAGGTTCTATTCTTCCCCAGGTGAGGGGCGTGGCAGGTGGGAGCATAAGTGAGACAGCCCAGGAGGAAGGAGAGGAAGGAATGGGCATTTGGTTTGGACATGGTGCCCCCTGGAAGTGCACCTGCTGTGAAGATTGAATTTGAGCACTTGTTTTTCCAGGCTATCCTAGCATCTGCCTGCCAACCAAATGGGCAGTTAGGGTGGGGGTTCTGGAGATGAACTCCTGCTCTCTCTGAAGCTTTGGAAGCATATAGCTACTGAATTACAGAGCATAAAGGAAAGATCTGGGCTGCCTTCCTGCTGTCTTGGTGCCTTGGCAGGCTAGTGAGTTGAGGCAGGAAACCTTCGCTATTTACTTGCAAGGCTTAGTTACACATCTGGCTCAAGGTTATGCACCTGGCACAAATGTTACTTTGAGAAAAATGTTTCCAAATCCCGTATGCCCCCTCGTTGGTCTGCCAGCCACCCCACTGAGCCTAAGATACCCAGCTCTGCCTGCTCACATCTCTCCCACCCTGTCCCTGATGTGTTGGTTGCAAAAGTCCACTGACCTTCATCCCAGCCACGGCAATTCCAGGAGTGCCCTGGCAAAGAGAGACAAAAAAAGGTCTGAAGACATTCTTCAGCGAGAGGGCAGCGGCGGAGGGTGGGGGGGCGGTGCAGTGGACAGCCTCCCCATGGTGCGATGGGAAGGAGGACCGCTCACTCCTCCCAACCCCGCAACCACCAACCCTGCCTGGGAGGTGGGGGTGCTGAGCTGATGCCATGAGAATGGACCCTGAGGAGGGGGCTTTGTGCAGCTTAGTCTGCAGGGCTCCCTGGGCTTCCCAACCACCTGGCCTCTCCTAGGAGGCACAGTGGGGACTGTGGGGCACTAGATGGGGCTGGGAGGGGGTCCCTGGGGTGGAAGGGGGAGCTTCATTGGACTATGAAAGGAGGAGGAGATGGGAGGGGAGAGGGCAGGAGGATGGAAAGCCACGGGAGAGGGGGGCAGAGTAGATGACAAAGTAAAGGGGCTGATTTCACCAGGACAGTCGTCCCCAGTGTCTGATTGACATGACCCTCACAGTCAGCTCTGCGCATCTCTGCCCTCACAGACTGGGGAGTGGCTGGAGTGAACCCTGTTTTCGTATCAGCCCAAGGCCACCTACTTTGAGAGATATATGATGCCCAAAGTGCCCCTCAGCAAATCTCAAGCGGAGGTGATTTTTGGGGGTCCCTACTCTCCACTTGGGTCTTAGGACTGCAGTGGAGCTAGGGGTACCTGAAATGGCTTTTTATGACCCAGAGATACCCAGGAGGAGGCCGCCCACATCAGGGCGCACTGATGAGAGACCACAGTGCTGCAGCTGGGAGAGCCAGGGCAGGCGGAAGGAGGCCCAAAGAACTGGGACTCCAGAGTGTCCCTGGAGCTGGGGAGAGAGGGATGGGCGCTGGGAGAGGGGCCTTGGGGCTGCTTGGGATGCGGGGAAGGGGGAGGTACCTTGGCTCCATGCTTGCCGGGCATCCCTGGCATGCCCCGTTCTCCCTAGAGGAAGAAATGAGAAAGCATGAGGAGAGGACCAGACTCGGGGCCTGTCAGCCTGCAAAGACATTGGTGAGAATGGCTTGTCTGGAGGCTGGGATGGCTGTCCCGCTCATGTTGAGCTCTGAGGACCCTGCTGGTGGCAGCTGTGTGGGCCCCTGCCCTCAGCTATGTGAACTTGCAGGAGGGCCCAAGTTACAGGTCACAGAGCAGGAAAGGCCCCCAGAGAGAGAGGCTCACTTAGTGGAATGCAAGTTCAGCACGGGAAGCGACTGGCCCAAGATCTACCTACCACTCCGTGGTTGAGCTGTACCTGGAACTTGGGCTGTGGGACAGGACCAGGGGCAGGAGCCACCCATTGGCCGCTTACCTACTGCACACCTTCCCTCTGGTCCCTGCCTGGGACTTCTTGCCTTGTTTTCACTCCAGCAGCTTTGCTAGGATGGTACCTTCTGGCTGAGCCAGACAGGAGCTCTCTTCTCTTTTCATCTGGGGTTCCTTTCCCTTCCAAGTCCTCTGGGTCTAACTCTTCCCAAAGGCATGTGTCCCTGCCCATTTATCCACACCCATTTCTGACCCTACCCGTCTGGAGGCACAGGTAGGGTCACCAGTCCATTATTGCTTCTCTGGGAGAGCATAGGGCTGCTCTACCATCATGGCACTACCCTACCTTTATGTTCAACATCTTTACTTCCCCAGGAAAATGCCAAATCTGTGAGAGTAGGGTGAGATCAGGATGAACGACACACCACAAGGAGGTGGAGTTGGAGATGACAGCCAGGGACAAATGGGAGGCCAAGAGCAGGTAAGTCAGGACTATCATTGGCTACATCAGGAGATGGGGGGAGGGCAGTGCCTGGTTCCAGTTGAATCCTATGTAGTGCCTGAGCACGGAGCCCCAGCTGGGGCCCGGGATGGTGTCCAGCAACAGGTGACTGCGGCCAGCCTGCTGCCACTTCCTCCATCTGAAGGCCAGCACTGTGGAGGGGCAACACAGAGTGTGACAATCCTGTTCCCGGCCCAGCTGCCCCATTGGGTGTGACTGCTGTGGCTGCCAGGCCAGGCTGCAGTTCCCATAGGCTTAAAGGCAGAGGGGATCTGGTGTTCCCTGGCTTCCTTCTCAGCTGTCCACACTCTCCCTTTCCTGTCATCTTACAGGAGGTCCTGGTCCCTCCTTCTCCTTACCAAGGCTAGAGTACTTCCACCCTCTTCCTCGGTGATGGGTCTTCCATGCAAGTGTTCAGTTAAGCTCCCTAACACACAGGCTGGATAGCGAGACCCCTGCCTTAAAACATCCCTGGCCTGCTGTTGACAGTAGGAAAAGGACCAGGTTCCTGAGCATGACGTTTTGATCCCCGCTTCCTTCCTAGCCTCATCACCTGATATCATGGGGTGCATCAACTAGTTTCTGTGTCCCTGAAAACACCACCCGCTTCCACAGTTGTGTCTTTCTGCCATTTCTTCAACTGAAAACCCCTGCATCGTTTGGATTCTTGGTTGACAGAGCAGCCAGTGCTTGAGCACCCTGGGCTGCGCTGCCCTCGCACACTGACTCCTGCACCCCTAGGGGCCACAGATCCGAGGGCCTCTGAGTAGAGAGAGGCTCTGCCCTGTTTTCAGCCTGAAGAGGCTGTTTGATGGGAGTGGGGCCCTTTTATCTCTTCTATGAAGCTTTTCGCTATCCCCTATTACCCAGCGCTGCATCCTCAATGCGGCAGGGACCACTTAGCGTTTGTAATCTGCACACACAAATTTACGTCTGCCTGAGATGGCTTCGCTTTTATCCTCTTTGGGCCAAGTCTCTAAATTCTACAAAAGGCCTAGAATCTTTAGTTCCCAATGCCAGAGCCCTCTCTCAGCATGACTCCACCAGTGACCCCTGAACCACAGGTGGGATGGCAGAGCTAAACTCAGGAAGTTACCACAGCTGAAAATCCAGAGCCCAAGGCCTGCCCTAGACATTAACTTCCTTCTTGTGGGACTGAGAGAGAAGGGCACAGCCACTTACTGCAGCTGCCATGTGTCTGCCCTGGACTGGAAAGCTTTACAACCTTCCTCTATTCCACCTCCAACAATCCCTTCCAATGTGGGAGTGGATGTTATTCTCGTTTCACAGGTAAGCTAACCGCGGCTCACAGAGGCCAGGTAAGATTGCCAAGATCATGCAGCCTAGGGCTTTGGATAGTTTGTTGTCCGTATGCCAAGGTGCTCACTTCTCTTGGCCAACCCAAATATCAGATGGACTGATGTTCTGTCTGCTTCCATCAAACAGCCTTAAAGCAGAGCAGAGCCCCTCTTTGCTTGGGGAAGGGGGGTCCTTAGGTCTGTGGCCCATCAGAGTGCAGGGGTCGGTGTGTGGGGGCAGCTCAGCGCAGGATGCCCAGAAAAGCTCACTGCCTGTGTGCACAGCTGCTCTGCGGCCGGCAGAGGGCGCGACAGTACCTCATCTGAAGTCTGGCTACTCCGGCCACAGCAGTCTCCAAGCCCACTCAGTAGTATCAGCTGAGGGCTCCTGTCATTCTTTCCTTTGGAGGGCCCCCTGCTAACATTCTGAATGACTAAACCAGTTTGACTTAGTACAGAGGCCTCCACAGTCCTCTGGTGTGGGTGCAGGTGGGAGGTCAGCTTGGGAGTCCTTGACTATTTCGAGGCCCCCGTCATCCCTCTCTTCCACTTTCTCTATCTTTTCTCTTGCTTTCCCCCCAATGCCCCTGCCCTCTTCTTCCCACCTCCAATTCGGGGAGCTGGGCTGGGAGTGCAAGTGACCACGGATAAGCCACTTTCTCCCATTGGTCCAGGGTTCTTGGTTGCAAAGTGCGGTGAGATCAGATACCTCCTATCCACTGGCGCTCCTGTCTCTTCCCACCCACCCCAGCCCTGTCTCTGCTCCCCTGCACGCCCTTTGGAAGGAGAGAGGCCAAAGCTGGAGAGGTGCCATTTGGCTTGGTTGGTAGCTCCAGAAAAAGGATCTGTGGAGTGGGAAGGGACTCTTAGCTTTGGTTAAAAATGCAGCTCTAGGAGCGGTCTCAGTGGGTCTCAGCTCTCCCCTCCTCCTACCCACAGGGGTGCTCCTGCGGGGAGGAGGTGGCGTCTGCTTCAAGCTTGTCTCTGGGCTTCTGTCTCCAATCCCAGAAGAAACTGTGCAGAACAAAACCCCGGAGCGTGAGAGTCTCCAGGCTAATTGGGGTTGTCCTCAGCCCCTGTTGATGTGAGTGTGTAAAGACACAATCAGGCACTCGGGGAAGTCAGAGCCCCGGGAGCCTCCTCGGGAGGCAGCCCTCCTTGTTAGGGTGGCTGACCTTCGCCCCTTCCCTCCTTTCTGGGTCAATTCTCTTAATTCTGCAAATGACCCAGGCTTCCTTGATCCCCATCGCAGGGCCTCCGTCCCTCCCACCCCCTTGCTTGGCAGGAAGCAGGGGCGCCCCCACTGGCCTCCCCCAGCTGACCTTGCTCTGCTGCTCACTCCACTCTCATTAGGCTCACTCCCCAGGGCTTGTCTCTAGGGACCTGCCCCTGCCTGACCTCTGAACTGGGGAACGGGGCTTCTCCTAAAGCCAGAAACATTGGTTCCTGGAAGACGGTGAGGTGAGAGTCATTATCAAGGACTCCAGCATCGCTGTGGCCGGGGCCCATGTGCAGGAGGCAGGAGGCAGGGGGAGGGAGTGGGGGTGGTTATTGCCCGAGGAGGATGGTGGCTCACCTCTGTTCAGAGGGCTGTTCCTTGGGGCATGTCTTTGTGCAAGCCTGTCTAGGGGCTCCTTCTTTTCTAATTCCCCTCCTAGGTTTTCCTGTTTAAAAAGTGTCTTAGTAACTGTGCTCAGTTTCCATCCACTTACTCATCACTGTCTTGGTTTTCGGAGGGCCTGGCTCACTTAGTCCAGCAAAGCCCACAGGCCTCGATTCATCTCCTTTACCTCTGCCTCCTCTTGTCTCCCCAGAAGGGATTCAGAGGTTCCTCTGGGGGCTCTCAGCCGCCTTACTTGGGCTGGAGAAGTGGGTGCTCTGAGCCTTACAAAAGGTCTCAGCCATGTGCATGGTGTGATGGCAGAAGCTGTGACTCCCGGGCCAACATCCAGCCACCCCACTGCAAGGCTGGCTTTTTAACCTCAGTGCCAAGAACCAATGCAGGAAGGGGTAGATTGTAATCACTGTGCCTGAGAAGGCTCTAGGGGAGCACAAGTGGGTAGAGAGGCATTTGCTTTGAATGGCCTTGAAGGCCTGTCCCATCCCTGATTTTGAGGCTGCCACTCAGACTCCCCAGCTGGGCCCTGCCCCTGAGCACCACACAGCATTGATAGGTCCTCTGTTCTGGTCCCAGATTCCAGGTGGGAGGATGCATCCTTTACAGGGATGATGGAACGGAAGGGAGCTCCTTGGAGCATAAACCAGCCATGCTCTGCTCCTGTGGGAGTAGCCTCTTAATTGGCGATTTACTGTTTGTTGAACAAGCTGGGCAGGGACTTGGCAAGAAAGCACAGTCTAGAGGAAGGAAGGGGGCTTTAAGGTCAGCTCCCAGCCAAAGTCAGGCCAGGGAAGCACGGGGAAGTAAACGAAGTTCTCTAAGATTAGGCCTGGGTTCTGCTGCAGCCAGGTCTGCGTTGGAAGGCCCTGAGCAAATGCATCTGGTGGCACAGGCTCTTTGTTCTCTGTAACGGAGGAGGAAGGCCTGCCTGAGAGTGTGGGGAGTTTGCAGGGAGGGGGTGGAGGGATGGTGGTCGGCGGACGGCTCAAGCCTGAAGCCTGGACCGGGGTCTTTTCCCTAGGCCAGAAAAGCCAGGTGTGGAGGGCTAATGGTTTTCTCCCTGTAAAGAGTTCCCAGGTCTTCCTTCCGGGAAAAAGGCAGCTCAGTTCCCGCTTCCCTGCTCCAGCCAGCTTCCACACCAGAGAGGACCAGAACTGCGGAAATTCCAGGTCCTCTGGTAATTAGGGCCGGCAGGAAGTGATCCGGGGAATTACCGGGGTTGGGTGCCCCATTGAAGGCCAGGGCTTTGGAAGGGCAGCTG